CACAGGCTGTGCCGTCTTCCTCCTCTGCTACTCTTGCCCAAGCAGGTACTCCTACAGCTTTTCTTACTTCGTCTTCCACTCCAACCTGGATTATAGATTCTGGCGCTACTGATCATATGACTGGGAACCAAGGTATTCTGTCATCTTTCTCTCATACTTCTAACTCTGTTGTCTTAGCTGATGGGTCTCGAAAGCCTATTCGGGGTATTGGCAATGCACTCCCTACTCCTTCACTTCCTTTGTCCTCTGTCTTTTATCTACCTGATTTTCCGTACAATCTTTTATCTGTTAGTAAGATTACTAAACTTCTCAATTGTACGGTAACATTCTTTCCTTCATATTGTATATTTCAGGATTTGGTGACGAGGAAGACGATTGGCACAGGACGTGAACGCAATGGCCTGTATGAGCTAGAGTTGGCATCCAACAGTGTGGCCTGCATCAGTACTATTTCAGCCTTTGAGTACCACTGTCGGTTAGGACATCCTTCTCTACCTGTACTAAAACTTCTTGTCCCCTCCTTAGGTTCTCTTTCCTCATTAGATTGTGAGTCATGTCAGTTAGGAAAGCATCATCGCGTGTCGTATCCTAGTCGAGTCAATAACAGAGCAATTCAGCCTTTTGATTTAGTTCATTCAGATGTATGGGGCCCTTGTCCCATTACTTCAAAATTGGGATTCAAGTACTTTGTTAGTTTTGTGGACGATTATTCGCGTGTTACTTGGATATATTTGTTGAAATCCCGTTCTGATGTATTCTCAACTTTTCAAATATTTTTATCAGAAATACAAAATCAGTTCAAATCCACAATAAAAGTTTTGCGATCTGATAATGCTAAGGAATATTTACAAACAAATTTTGCCAACTTCCTTGCTCAATCTGGTATTTTGCATCAATCATCATGTGTTTACACTCCTCAACAAAATGGGGTGGCTGAAAGGAAAAATCGACATCTCCTAGACATTGCTCGGACCTTATTATTTCATAGACAGGTGCCTAAAGAATTTTGGGGTGATGCTATCCTTACTGCTTGTTACTTAATTAACCGCATGCCGTCTTCTGTTCTTCAACACAAAATTCCGTACACTTTGTTGTATCCTAACACTCATATGTTTCATCTACCCCAAAAATATTCGGGTCTTTGTGCTTTGTCCATAATTTTAGTCCTCACAAATCTAAACTTGACCCTCGGTCCCATAAAGGCATCTTTCTTGGATATTCTCGTACACAGAAAGGCTACCAGTGTTTCTGTCCGTCCCTCCAAAGATATGTTCTATCTGCTGATGTTATATTTTTTGAACACCAAGCTGGCAATTCTTCATCTGTGTCTCCCAGCCCCTCAGACTCTTATGACTATTTGACTCTTCAGGAAACTTCATTTGAGCAGATTAACTCTTTGGCTGACAATGGTACTGGTAAAGATCCACAGCGACTTCAGGGTCCTCTCCAAGTTTATACTCGTCGTCATGCTCCTGCTCCTGTGCCTCCGTCCACCTCATCGTCAAGTCCTGTTTCAAGTGCCCCTGTACCCTCCCCTGAGAATTCTGATGATCTTCCTATTGCGTTACGTAAGGGTAAAAGAACTTGTACTCAACATCCTCTCTCCAATTTTGTTTCTTACTCTCACATTTCCTCTTCCTTTAAATCTTTTATATCTTCCTTGGACTCATATTTGGTTCCCAATACTGTGTCCGAAGCTCTATCTATACCAGGTTGGGTTCAAGCTATGAAGGATGAAATGACTGCTTTAGAGCAAAACGATACTTGGGATTTGGTATCTCTTCCGCCAGGCAAAAAGGCTGTTGGTTGCAAATGGGTTTATACTGTTAAACTCAATCCTGATGGAACTCTGGCACGCTTGAAAGCACGTCTGGTTGCCAAGGGTTTCTCTCAAGTCTATGGTCTTGATTATTTGGATACATTCTCTCCTGTTGCTAAAATGACTTCGGTTCGTCTTCTCATTTCTATTGCTACTACCTATCACTGGCCTTTACATCAGATTGACATTAAGAATGCATTTCTTAATGGTTTTCTTGATGAAGAAGTTTACATGGAGCAACCACCAGGCTTTGTTCATTAAGAATGCATTTCTTAATGGTTTTCTTGATGAAGAAGTTTACATGGAGCAACCACCAGGCTTTGTTGCTCAGGGGGAGTCTCTGAAGGTCTGCTTGATGAAGAAGTTTACATGGAGCAACCACCAGGCTTTGTTGCTCAGGGGGAGTCTCTGAAGGTCTGCAAATTAAAGAAGTCTCTATATGGCCTAAAACAATCTCCGCGTGCTTGGTTCTGTCGCTTTACATCTGCAGTTCAAGACTTTGGTCTCAGTAGATCAGAGAAAGATCATTCTGTTTTTTGGAGACTAAATAATGGCAAGCGGATCTTGCTCATTGTATATGTGGATGATATTGTCATCACAGGGGATGATACAATTGGGATTAGCGGTTTGAAGAAACATCTACAAGAGCACTTCCAGACTAAGGATCTAGGGTCTCTCAAGTATTTTCTAGGTATAGAGGTGGCCAAGTCAAAGAAGGGTGTTCATTTGTCACAGAGAAAATATGTGCTCGATATGCTTTCAGAAGCTGGCATGTTAGGATGTAGAAGCATTGATTCTCCAATGGATGTAAATGTTAAGTTGTTACCAGATCAGGGGGAGCTTCTTGAGGATGTTGGACGATTTAGAAGGTTGGTGGGAAAATTGAATTATTTGACTGTAACTAGACCAGACATCACATTTGCGGTGTGTGTAGTCAGTCAGTTTTTATCAGCACCAAGAACTACTCTTATGGATGCTGTATTAAGAATTCTGCGATATCTAAAGAAAGCTCCAGGGAAAGGTCTCCTCTACTCAGATCAAGGACACACAAGAGTGGTCGGATTTTCAGATGCAGACTGGGCTGGGTGTCATGTTGATAGGAGATCAACCACAGGTTATTGCATATTTGTTGGAGGAAATATTGTATCATGGAGGAGTAAGAAGCAGAGTGTAGTATCCCGTTTTAGCGCAGAATCAGAATACAGAGCAATGGCAAATGTAACACTGGAAATGGTTTGGATTCACGACTTGTTGACAGAAGTTGGTCTTCCCCCAGAATGTCCTATGACACTATATGGTGACAATCAAGCAGCAATCCATATTGCTGAGAATCCTGTTTTCCATGAGAGGACGAAGCACATTGAAGTCGATTGTCATATTGTTCGAAGGAAGATTGTAGATAAAATCATCACTACAAGACATGTATCAACAGGTCATCAGTTAGCAGACATTCTAACAAAACCACTTGGGAAAACTCGGGTAGACTTTATTTGTGACAAGCTGGGCATGTATGATATATATGCTCCAGCTTGAGGGGGAGTGTTGAGAGATAATATGTAATCAGTAATATGTAATCAGTGGTTTAGTCCCACATCGGTTGTAGGACCAGGCTTGTATCCTTTTTTGAAACTATATATAGACTAGAGTATGAGACCCTAATCTCATATAACTCTTTTCTCTCCAAATCTCTACTTATAAGATTAACACCTACTGATGTATAGCTGTGCAGAACATGGCTGGTTCTTATATTAACAACTTCCATCTTTATTATAGTTTCATCACAGAGTTAGATCATCTTACTCTTGCCGTGTAATGAGGTATGTGTCCCTTTATTGCAAACTTGGCATTGTTAACTGCCACTGTTTAAAAAGCTTCCGCCTAGTCCGCCTAGGGGTACACCTAGGCCCGGGCGGTACCTAGGCGATATCTAGGCCGTCCATTTAGGTTTTGAGAGTGTTTAGGGAAATATTGTCTACTTACGTGGACTGCACCCTTTAGGCATTGATTGTGATTTTCTGTGTTGCAGTCTAAGCTCCAAATATGAACACCTCTACTACATTCTCCGACCTTCAGCAAAACCTCTTCGACCACCACTTAAATGAAGAAAAAAGTTCGCCTAGACACCAGTTCGGCACCTAAGTTTTCTATAACATTGACATTTACTATCAATGATTGTAATTATATTATAAAAATAAAAAAGAAAGCTTTCTAGGCTCTAGGCGTCGAGTCCAAAGCCTAGGCCCCTTAACGCTTTCAGTTATTATTTTAGCTATTTAGTATTTAAGTATGCATGGTTTATTATAAATGTAATATTGCTATCTATTTTTTACAAATTTATATGAATTTAATGTAAATTTTTATCACTTATTATAATTAAATAATTTAAAAGAAGAAGCATTGCCCTTTTTTGATCTATCCCATGTGTCATTTGTGAAAGAATTAATGTCCTTTGTAGTTCACTAAGAGGGAGTTCACATCAGTACTTTGCAGGGAGGGTAAAAAAAACCTCTTATAGCCCGGAAGTCTTTAGCAACCGTCCATGCTAGAATAGCACTTGCGCCTATAGCAATGGTTAAAAGACCACATGCAAATAAGGTAGGCTATACGCCTAGGTGTCTAGCTGCTAGGCGCTGGCTCTAACACCTAGTCCGCCTAGCGTCTTCTGTAACATTATTAACTGTATCTTAAGCTTTTTCTCCAAGCAATACCGATATAGATTATTATAAACCTTTAGCTCCGACAAAAAATTATAGAGACTAGTTAGTTTCTAATTTGCTTGTAAATTCTCATTAAGAATTAATGTGTCCTCATTTGAGTGTACTAGCTGTTGTATATGAATTATGTTAAGTAAATATTTTTAGAAGTTACAATTTGAAACATGCTACTCCAAAAAATTATTTTCTTGTTAATTTTATGAGAGGTCTCAGTTGCAGTTGTAAAAGTAATTTTAATTCTTATCAAAACAGAGACTACACTCTGTCACAACCTTTGCTGCTCTTTCGGTCGCAATTATCTTTGCTTGGAAGCTCTTGAGGGCTCCTCCAGAGAACCATAGAAGACAACCTAGAAGGCGTACTCCAGTTTCTGGTCCTTCTGGTGTCAGATTGCATTCAAGTACAACTTTCTCGTCCCCTGAAATTTGTTCGTCTTCTGGAGACTCAAAAGCACTTGATGCAGTTGATGAGCTGTTCCGACCAGTAAAGGTGTTAGTAAAAGTCAATTTAAAGTTTCGCACTTTCTATCAACAATTAGAATTCTAAGATTGTTAATTTCTTTTTCCAGCTGACTCTGGAGCAACTTGTCAGGCATAAGCTAAGTGAAGGGAGAAAGGTAGTTTTCCAACTTGCACAATTACAGTTTTTAATTGTCTTCTAGTACATGCACATTCTTGGGAACTCTTTCTAACAGTAGCTTACTGTTTTTCTATGAATCCACCAACCTTCTTTCAGTTTATGCCACTGATTTATTGAAAGAATTAATAATGTTAGCTGAAACTAGAGTTTTGGTCCACTAGCAAGGAAATTAAGCCTATATGCTCGTTTTGTTATATCTGATCTGTACTCGGTATATATCTCCAAGGTATGCCATTAATTGGGTATAATGAAATCTGATATTTATTAGTGTTTGGGTATTATAAAAGTAGAGGGGTAGACAAAAGTTGGTAATAAGGAATTCCAAAATTTATGAGATATGCCCATAATTGTTATTCTTTGGGATACCAAGTTTATGAGATTTGACATGTTTATAACCGTATGTATATACCAACTTTATGAAATATTGGCCATACTAGCTCGTGTAATGAAGAGTTCTTCACTCAAAATCTATAGGGGTATAATCATGTCAATTCTAAGCAACTGATTATAATTTATATAATGAAACCAGCTAAATATCCACCCAAAAAAACAAACTTTGGACGATTATCAGATAGCCTCTCTAGCTTTCAAAGTATTAGAACCCCAAACCTAAATTAGGGGTTATCATAAAACCCACTTTACCTTTAAGATTTTATTGGAAAGCCCTCTAACAATATTAACAACAATATTTCACATGGGTGGGTAAAATTACGCAAGGGGGTGTTTTTTTCTAGTGAAAATTGCGGTGCACACATTTAGAGGATTTTCTGATATAACCTTAAAACTAAAGGAAGTTTCTGATGACCCTAAATTTGAGGGGGTTTTCTGATCTTTGAAAGAGTTATGGGAGGTTATCTGATAATCGTCCAAAGTTTTTTCTTTTGGGGGAGGGGTTGGGGTAGGGTGGGGTCTGATACTAAGCCAATTTTAAACCTTTACTGGTCCTAGTACTATGCTACGACTTTCATATAATGGATGTAGTACTATCTACGAATTTTGCATAATCTAACTTCTAGATATCAACATGTACATTGCAATGCTTAGTGGAGTTGAATGAGGTTAATTGAGTACTGAGTCAATCTTGATTAAGCTACTTCTCTTCTAGCTTAACCACAAGCAAAGTCTTTATCCTAAATATTGGGTGTTGTCTACATGAATCACACTTTTCTACTCAGTTATATTGAAGGCTATCTCCTCCATTCAGTTTACTGCTTCTAAACAAGTACTCTAAGGCCTATCTCTGGTCCTTCTTTCTCTATTGATTTCCTATAATTTCTTAATTGGTGTATTTAATGACTTGCATTGCACATGACCAAACCATTTCTAACGGTTCTCTCTCATCTTGTTCAGAATAGGAGCAACCTCTAACTTCCTACCAATGCACTTATTTCTTATTATATCTCTTAGTGTATATTCACTCTTCTTTGTAATATTCCCATTTCTCCTACACTCATTTACTACACCTCTGTTAATTGTCTAACAATCTGACTTATAAATCATTGTGGAAGACTGGAAGTTATATCTATCCTATAGAATTTTTCCTTCAATTTTAGAGATATTTTACGATCACATAGAACTCAAAGATTCCTCCACGATCCTAAATTGTTTTGATGGACCAAATCATCCTCAACCTCATTATCTTGATGAACAATTGACCCTGAATTAAAAAATGATTACTCCTAGGTATTTCTTGAATTTTGACTGTTAATATGTACTATAACGCTCATTCTTTTCAACCTTCTACATGGAACTTATTTTGTCTAGTCAAATCCAATATTGTTCCTATGTCCTAGCTTATCTCATGTCCTATCTTGGCTTATTTAATATTGAGTTGAAATATACTTCTAACTAGTGTTTTCAAAGGCGCACACCTCATTGTGCCTTATGCGCCTTACAATGCGGGGCAATGGTGAATCGCCCCGTATTTGATGCAACAACGCTTTTTGCTCATCGCAACCATTCTGACTTTGCATAGGGCGCATGTAGTAGATAGCCTTATATATTTTTTGTTCGTTAACATTTCAATTGAGTTTTTATACTTATAACCCATATCCTGAAAAGCAAACTAAATCCATTAGGCCTTTATAGTAGCCTTCAATTGAGGACCCTAGCTAATCCTCATTTACTTTTTGATTTTTCTTGGATATTAGTCTTAATTTGATATTTGAATTGAAAAATTATGAACTTTGCTACTATGTTTGATGTGTTAGCATTAGAAATTAAGACCTATATTGTGATTTGGTAGTAAGAATTATTATCCTGACATTTTATGTGAATTTCTAAACATTTTCTTTTGTGCTTGATTATCTATCTTGAAAAATTATGTGTGCGGTGTGCACCTTGCATCACTCAGGCGCGCGCATCGCATTGCGCCTTGCGCATGTGCGCACAAAGATTATTTGCGCCCCCATTCCGCCTCGTGCATTGATAACATTGCTTCTTAACTTATTTAATTTGATAGTTCTAACGGTTGATGACCCTTAACCTTTGACATTGGGTGTTGAATCTTTGATCTAGTTATTTGGCTTCTGGACTCTAAATGTAGAAGTGCCCATGATATGTCAAATAAGATACGCGTAAGACTGATTTAGCTAGTCATGATGCTAGCTTGATTACGATTCAAAGTAATAGTTCAGGTACTCTTGTATATGCCTTTCAATGATAAACTTAGCTTAGCTCACATGTTTCTTTTAGGATGGTTCATTAGTTGATGAAGCTAATTTCAGTGTGAACATTGAGCCACACGTGATTGATAGAGAACTTTTTTTTGGTTCTGGCAGAGCTGATAGGCTCTATATTAATATGTTGATATGCAAAAGGCTTGAGCTTGTGTTGTCGTTCATGATGTCTTCAAATTATATGGGAGTTGATTCTGCTTTTTAAGGAATTTTAATTTTTATCTTTTGACAATTATTAGCTGCATTTTAAATTTCGTTGAGCATTATTGACTAGCCTTCATATGTAGCTCCTTCTGAAAGTCTTAATATAATTGAATGGTTGATGGTCTTTTATATTTAAGGAATTAGGATGCATGTAACTAGCTGACATTGTAGCCAATGTTCAAAAACACGGTTTTTATTATGTGCTTGGTCTAGGAATGCTTAACGAATAATTGAATTAAGCATCAGTTAATCAGATTATGTGGAATTATGTGTTTTTAATTTTATATATATATATTATTTATCATATGTTAAAATATATAAAACTCACGGAAAATAGAAAATACACTGAGAAAATACCTACAAACATTCGACTGAACATTCAATAACTGGTTAACCACTTTAAAATTGAATCCATGCATCAAAATTAATGCGATACTCAAAAAAAAGTGGGAAAAGATAGGGGCTAGATTTTTTTTAATTTACTTTATAGTTAGTTGGATCAGGTTTGGATAAACGGGGTCAACCTGCAATCAAATTAAAAAAGCCCGCATAAACAAATAATGCGGACTCTTACTAAAAATTGGTCAATTAAGCAGATGCCATTTGGGAAAAGATAGGGGCTAGATTTTTTTTAATTTACTTTATAGTTAGTTGGATCAGGTTTGGATAAACGGGGTCAACCTGCAATCAAATTAAAAAAGCCCGCATAAACAAATAATGCGGACTCTTACTAAAAATTGGTCAATTAAGCAGATGCCACATAATTGAGTGCATAATTCATATCCTGCGCATTTTTATCACACATCTGCTTAAGCTGGCGATTAAGTGGGTGCTTAAACCTTTCTTTAGAGCACTGATTGTAGCCATTTTTATCTGTATTGGCTTCAATTTCAATGAACAACAATTATTTAAACTTGTGGTTACCTTTTCTTCAAGGTTCTTTGGATAATCTATATAGATTATTCTTTTCTTATTTCATTCTTATTAAATAGCAAATATTGCATGTAACTGAGATTCTCAACATCCAATGTGGTTGATTACGTTGCAGTGACAAAATTCAATCTTCAAAGTCTAATTAAATTCATACCCTAACATTTCTGCTGTGGTTTGCGGTAGAATTCACCTAAAATTCAAAGTGAAAAAGGAATTGTGAACTTAATCAACTAGATGTAATTGTGCATATGCAGTAGATTTTTAAAAAAGAAAATTGATCAATTATATTGTATTATCAGCCTTCTATATGTATATTATCTGCTGCTTAGTGCATGTATATACTGCATGAGTATTGTCCTCTGGAGCTATAATCTTTCCATTTTTATCAAATTCAGGTTACGTGCCAGTTAGTCGGTATAATCCTCGAGGAGACCAGCCCAGAGGAGCTACAGGTGAATGATGATTACCTCATTGGTGTTCCTTTTACTGCTAATAAATAAATGGATTAACAGTATTTTAAATTGTCATTCCAGAAGCATGCGACTGTGAGGTCCTCCGTCCGTGAGGTGCTTTTAGAGATCACAAAGTTCTGCGATCTTTATCTAATGGAAAGAATTCTCGATGATGAAAGTGAGGTGTGTGCATACTTGGATTTTTTCTCTCTCCCTCCAATAGTTGGCTGTATATGACTTCTTTCCATGAAGTTGACCCTATTGTGCAAGACTAATCTTGAACATTGTGAGTAGTTTGATATTCATGCGTCTTGTAAGTAACTTGTAACGGTGCATAACGCAAGGTTGTTATGAAACTTTGTATGACCTTTGGTTTCAAAATTCTTTCTAGATTCATTGAACTCGGAAAGTATACCTTCTTAATTCTCCAAATTCCTGGCAAACTTGCTTGAAAAATGTTCAATTATGACATGTTTTGCAAACACTTGCCCATGGAGACTATATGGTCTCACATCAGATGTTTCCCAAGGAATATATAGAACCTTGATCAGTTCATTTCTAGGATTTCACTTCAAGGTCAACATATGTAAGAGTAGATATTCCTTACCAATGGCCAAGCAGGTTTGATTTACAATACCAAGCTTTTCTTTGAAGAATATGTGTCATGTCTAGTGAGTTTTTCTCTTGGAGTTTTCATCTAGTCATCTATTCTCTTTTATTTAGTTTTTCCCTAGTTACCTATCTTTATCATTGACATGAAACTTTCTGCATTGATAGACAACTCTAGACATTTTTGGCCTTACTTTTATGAGCCGTAAATAAGTATCATAAAGTTAAAATAATATAGAGTTTAATGATAACACTCGCTTGTAAAGAAGAATAGCACTCTCAAAGGTGGTAACTTGATAGAATGTACTCATACCCACAAAGTTTACAGGGTATCAATAAATCAATAATATGATGATAAATCTAAGAATAATATTTCATACCACAGGAAAATATTAATAAAGAATGAGGGAGAGGTAAAAAGTTAAAATTGAAAAGATAGATGTGTATAACTACTTTCGTTTCTTGATATTCTTTATGATACCTTGTATTTGCTGTTTTGAAATTTGCCTAAATGTGCTGGGCATATGTCATGGAGCATGGTGGTATACTGTAAAAAAGAAGATACTGAAAAAAAAGGGAGTCACAGTTGAGCAATACATGCATACATGCTAGGGAATGATACTCTGGTATATATCATGGAGATAACATTGTGGTACCATACATGCATGTGATACGTATAACCCTGGGGTACCATACATGTCATATGCACTACACGTGGTATGATGCTATGTATTTACGGTAAAGTTTTCTGATTAGTCATTTGCTTGAGTATCTCTTGTGACCTTCAACCCAGCAAAGCTGAATCACATTTTTGTAATCATGCTAGTATTGGACAGCATGCACCATCATTGTCTTCTTCAAAAATTATGTTTTTACGTTCTACAACTTGGGTTACTGGATCTCGTGTTATGGTTTGTGACTATTTTTGTTAAATCCATCTGATGTAAATTAGTAAATGTCCTTCAGGGAAAATGTTTGCATAAACATATGCAAAACATACCCCCGAATTTTGGCTCATTTCTATGTTTTTGAAGTAGCGCATCTTGTTTTTTTTGGTTTTTATTTTATTTTATTTTTACTAAGTATGCTATGCCTCTGAGCCGGTTTCTTACTACAAACATATAGTGGTGCAGGAAAAAGTTTTATCAGCTTTGGATGATGCTGGGCTCTTCATGTCTGGTGGTTTAACTCGAGATAAGGTGAGGCATCTTTCCCTTGTATTCTCTAGTAGTTGAACCTTAGGGGACCTATACTATATGTGATGTGTACTCATTGTTACTTAAAATAACATCTGAGCATTTCATCCATTAAACTTAACTGGCTATCTTTGAAACTCAACCATCTCATAATTTTTCTTTATTGTCAGTTTATATGGTGGAGAAAGAAGGGCAAATTTGGGATATTTTGTGTAGATATTCAGTTCTAGGCGGATTTGAGAAGGGAAAATTCAAAGGAGCATTTACTTTTGATCATAGATATTTTATTCTAGGCGGATTTGAGAAGGGAAAATTCAAAGGAGCATTTACTTTTGATCATAGATATTTTAATCAATTCATAGCCTCAAACTCTCAGAGAGCAATACTTTTACTAACTAAAAAATGGATCCAGTAGTTTTTGAACTGTAGGATATATACGTCATATTTGTAAATCATAATTATCCGGAAGGGAGATGATATCAGATTTATAGATCATATTGGTATCGAATTAAGATGTGACTCAATCTGATCGAACTATTTTCCCTCGTACTTTGCAGGTTATATTTTGTAGCACAGAGAATGGGCGCTCGTCCTTTGTACGCCAGCTTGAACCAGATTGGCATGTCGATACAAACCCAGAGATTATACACCAATTATCTGTAAACTGCCATTGGATCACTTTTACCTCTAGCTATATCAAAATATGTTTCTGCTATTGGACAGTATACTTTATCCGAACTAGGTTTTTAAAAAAGTATGACAAAGCATTTGTTTATATCTTCATTAAAAAGTTTTCATCATCCATCTGATCCTTTTCTTCAATAAGTCTGAGGTTAGCAAGCCCTTGCTAATTGGTGGACCATGGTAGCTAGCTCCCATACTGTAAATTTAACATTTCTGGCTAGCCCTTTATGCCTAGGCAAACAAAGTGTGGTCGTTCAAGATTTCCTATTTTGGGGAAGAATCTAGACTGATTTAGGATGTTGAGATTAGCTATTGAGAATTGCATTCGTCTCTGAGGTACCAGTTTAATGTACTATATTCCTAACATAACTGCAGGAGCTCCAAATACTTATCTCTGTTATAACATATTAACACCTAGTCACCTCCCAGTTCCCACTGATTGATGTCTTTCTTATAGTTTATTTTGGTAATTGAACTAAGATTTTTGCTATATATTTTCAGTACTTAAATGTTTATTTTCTTTGCCTGTTTTTGTAATATTAATTTTGCTTGCGTCACATGATAAATGACTCTTTATTTTCTTTGCTTCAGAGGTTCATCAAGTATCTGCTTCACATTTCACCTAACAAACCAGAACGTGCAGTTTCTTCAAATGTATTCAGCTCCACAGGCTTGGAGCACTTCTTTGGTGGTCCAGATATAAGCTAATATTTTTGTGGTAATTAACTAGTTCTTGCTTTGGGTTAATTTGAAGTAAAGTTCTTTATGGAACAGGTTTAGGAGTATAGTTGATACATGATGCACACATGTACTGCTGCATGAGAAACATATACATTAACAACTTCCATCAAACAAACCATAATGGTTACTTGTGGGAGACAAGGTGTGATTTTTAATGGATCAATCAAATAAAGGTAAACAATTTATTTATTTTTGACAATCTGAATATTGGAGAACAATTCCTCAGCTAATCGTCCATCAGGAATCAGAAAAGAGATTTCTACAATTGAAGATTTAATTATTCTACCAACTACCTGTTCAGTCACAAAACTGTCATTTTTTCAGGAGTAAAATTTCACTATACCCCCGGAACTTGAGGCGAGTTGCATAATACCCCCCTGAACTTTGGAAATTCTACTAAACACTATATACTTAAGGAATTTCACAAAACTGCCTGAATTTTTTAAAATTTCCACAAACGGAGTTAAAGGATTAGCAACTAAAATATCCTTTTTAGAAAAATAACCCCCTCTTCATTGAAATTTACCTGTTCAGCTAATCGTCTACTTTTGGTCACTTTCCTTTAAATAAAGTGTGTTAGTCAGTTTGGGGGAGTTTCTCTTTTTGTATTTGGGGTGTGGGTTTGTCCAGCTTGCCCCAAAGTTCATGGTGAGTTGGTGAAATTTACCCTTTTTAGCGTCTCCCCTGTCTTTAGGTCTGGAAGCCCGTAGGAAACTGAACAAGGTTCAAGGCTATATACAACCGGATTCTTTTTGTCATTTTTATTGAGATTATAACCGTCGTAAGTGAGTCCTTAAGACTTATCCAAATAGCAATATTACATCCGCTGAAAAGATTAAGTTGTTTAAACTTCGAGTCTGGCAATTCAATCCCTAACCTTAACCCTTAGTGTGGGAAAACTTTACTTTCCAATAGACCGGAACCATTGCTTATGTTGTTGTCCAAAGGGCAATTAGTTCCTCAAATCTATGAAGCACGGACACGCATAACATGAAGCCGTGTCGTGTCGTGTCCGTGTCGGACACACGTGTCGAACACATGTATCCTATGTATTTTTTAGGATTTACCTCGTGTCGGCGTGTCGGATGGCCGTGTCGGATCCGTGTCCGTGCTACATAGCCTCAAATCATCAAAATTTCTATTAGGACCTCCAATTCCAATTCTCATGAGGTGTTTAAAATTAGTCCCTGTAATTGCTAATTCTACTAGTGACTTGAGGGACTATTTTCAAAGTAACTTAAGAATTAGGGAATCTAATACCAATTTCAATGGTTTGAAGGACTAATTTCAAAGTATGAAAGATATAAGGAACTAATATTGAGAAACCTGTAAGTTTTTATATTTAGTGTGCAGATGTTGTGAACTTTTTCTATGGCGCACAGGTAGAAGAAGCCATCAGAAGTGTGGGAGTCCGCACCAACGGATGTTGTGCAATTTCTGTATTCAAATGCTGGTCAATGCACCGAATGTATTTTTCTTTGTGAAACTAAATTCCTATTCCAATGCATTATTTATGTTGCAATGTGCTCCAAAAGTTGAGTACAGTGTATATCAGCTCTATCATTGTATAATCTAAAAGTTAACTTATTAGGGGTGTGTTAATGAATTTTTTGTGAACGCTGTGGTTATGCGTGTTGTATCTATTGAACAAACGCCAGGATGTGTGTTGTATCTATTTGAACAAACGCCAGGATTTTCCGAAACTGGTTTTTTAGTGACGTGCAAGACAAAGATATTCAACCGCATCCTCTGTGTTGTTTCTCTGTTGGCAAACGGGTTTAGGTGAAATTCATCCATCGGGGGCTTACACCGTTTGGGTTAAGTGAAGAATTTTCATTTAGGTTTAATTGGAAGGACAAATTTTCAAAACCGACCCATTTGGGTTTTTAATTGCAAAAAACGACCGGTTTTGAAAATATTTACAAAAACCGACCTGTTTTCAGCTAGGGGCTGAAAACAGGTTGGTTTTTTTAAAATTTTTTGGGAAACTTCACGGGAGTTGAACTCCTGTGAAGTTTTTTCTCATAACAAAACTTCACGGGAGTTGAACTCCCGTGAAGTTTGGGAAAAAAAATAATTTAAAAACCGACCCAATTTTAACCAACTGGGTCGGTTTTTATAATTAAAATTAAAATGGATCGTTTTTTGCAATTAAAAACCCAAATGGGTCGGTTTTGAAAATTTGTCCTTAATTGGAATTTATCCTCTGTGAGATTACGTAGCAGGATTCTAGTTTTTCTCCCTTCTTTGTATCTCTTGAAAAATGTGATTTTCAACAATCCTCATTCGAATTATTTGAATTGGATTTTATTCTAAGTCATATTTTAGTTATTTGGATCAATACAATAAAATAGTAGCTTTGGAGGTACATTGTTTTTCTTTTTAGTGGTTAAAATTTATTATTCAACAGAAAGAAAGAGTGGACTTTAAAAGAATTGAGAGATGGTACGTTTATGTTGGAATTTCTAACCAAATCACCCAAACATAATCTAAAATCAGACTGGCAAAATTGTCAGGTAGACTGTTTTCATCGGTTCAAACGGATTAGTGCTCACCTTAATTGATAAATATATTTTTGAAACAAAGACGAGAACGAAATGCAAACAGATCCAATATATGGAATAATTATCAAGGCTATAATATTAGCGCCTTTTACCGAGTCAAGAGGCCTGAAAAAAGTGAAGGAAAAAGAGGGGGGAAAGCCCTTGCAGATTTCATGCAACGCCAATGAGCTGACATTTGAACTCATCCTGCTACAAATATACGTTCTTCTTGGAGACAATTTACACCAAGACGATGAAATACAAAAATATGTAAATGATAGCAAAAAACTGTTGAATTAATAAATATGTATCTAACTTAGGAGAGCATTACAACCAGCATCTCTACCTTTTTAACACATTTCACCAGGAAAGAAAGACATGGATGGAGATACCAATTCAACCCTTTTGCATATAGAAAAAAAAATATAAACTATATTTTAAAACTCAATTGGCATATGAAAAAAAAAAATATGAGACTGTTAAGGGCGCATTAAGGCTGCTCATCCAAGCACTTCTGACACTTGCATCTGAAGCCATAGTCTGCTAATAAAGCTTGTCTCTCCTCAAATGGAACATCTTCATCAATATAGGAAATGGTAATCTGCAGTCATGTTTCGAATTTTAAAAGTCTTTAATGGACTTGCAAGGGTAATTACAAGCGATTAAACTAAAATTGTAGGCAAGAAGGACATCGTAAATAAACAAAGACAATTTGATGAGATAAGAGTTAGAAAATGAATACTACCTCCTCTTCTAGAGAGATGGACCGGGTTGCAAGTATTACTGCTTGTCCGTCTTTATCCTGCATTTGGGAGGAAATTTAACACAGATAGGATAAAGCGGAAAGAAATTGACCATATAGTCTTCAAACAGAAAAATAAATAAATAGATAATAAGGAAAATATCGCAAGGGGAAACCAAAGCATAAACATTTTAAGTTGAAGTACTCGAAGGGCATAGGATCTTATAATTAAAGGGTTAGTTGCAGATACGCCTGCCGATATTTCAGCATGTTGCAGATAGACACCTATTCTCTTATAGCTGTTTAACACACAACTCTGGCAATCAAATAACTGAGAAATAACTCCATTTGAGCATCAGGCGTCTAAGGTTTAATAGAATAATTTTTGGGGTAATAATTTGGCTAATCCACTATAGCATAGAGGGCGCATCTGCAATTGACCTTTACAATTCCCAAAGACAAATATTACTTTGTGTTATGAGATCAAAGCAATGCCACACGACCCAGTGAAAAAATGAATAAAATTGATCACTTTCTTTTCGAAGAAAAAGGAAAGAAACAGAGCATCTAAATATAGCAGACACATCAACACATTGAGGTAACATCTATTAGTGCCCTGCTATTTGGTCCTTATGTCCGTACACTCTACGAAGGAACAAAAGATCACAGAGATGTGGCTGGAGCTTAGATGTTTAAGCAGTGGAGTAGAGAACATATGCTCACCTTAGTAAACAAAGAATTGTATTCAGAGGGAAAACATATATCATAACTGCAGCTACAATGTTTGGAGCAAGGCTCGCATAATGGTTACACTGGTATTAAGACTGCCCAATTTTAGTATTGTCTTCGAAAATTCTACATTTGGTAGATAGATCAAGATAAATCAACTTCTATGATTACGAATCTTTTTCATCCTTTTGCTCCCAGTGAATAAAAATAAAACATAGGCTCCACTTTTAAGGACAATCTGTTTCTTCTTGATTGCATAAGCTATATACTCAAAGTCTCTAGCATGGACGTGCACATCAAAGCAGTATGCATTATGAAAAATGTGATTTACATACCCAAAGTTGAAATTTTCTCAGAATTACAATTTAATCCTGTTTTGTGGTTCCAATATTTATCATGGGCAAAATATTTTAGGGAAATTTCATGCAGAAGATTTCAAGGTAAATGAAGCCAATGCAAATTCTTTCACAAGAACACGAATAACAGAAGTATCAAAATAAAATTCATAAATTTATGCACAGTAACATCCTATGTTACCTGAGTACTTCTATCTGAAGTTGTACCCATATCCGACATGTACACATACCTGTACCCGCACAGACACTTCGTTGGCACTTATTGAGTATGTGCTTATATCTATCCGGGCATGCACTCAATTATATTACATCTTTTAATTTAAAACAACTCATCATAAACTTCTCGGACGTATATCCTACACTTCTCATAACATGTTAATGGAAATACAATATTGATCTCATGTAAACTATTAATCTCAATAATATATTTACACATACACACATACATCTATGCATATATATAGCTGTGTCCCCATACCCATTTTACAAAATTACCTTGTCCTGTAGCCATACCAGTACCCATACCCGTACTCATTTCCATGCAACATAGGACATACTTAAAACATTCAGATTCTGTTTTAAAATATCATAGATGATTATTACTTAAGATTTTCTTAGGTGCTCCATGAGCACCACGTGGCGTACGCCACACTAATAGGAATAGGACTTGTACACAAGAAATATTATTTAATACCATCATTTCTCTTTTTCATGTGGTTTGTGCCACATGGGTTATTCCTATTAGTGTGGTGTATGCCACCTTCTTACTCATTGAGGACCTAAGAATTTTCAAGACAATAGCATGATAAGTTACCTCATCTCTTTTAAATGCTTGGGCATTTGGGCAGCATGAATGGTTCATACAACTTTGTAGAGGGTAGAATCCAGTGCCTGATATACAGGGAGTTCTATTCAGTCAAAAAAAATACATGCAACAAAAAGTATTTCGAAGAAGATGAAGAATAGTAAAGGAAATTAGCAATCATCAATGAAGAATGGTAAAATATGTGAAAGAAATACCAGTTGAGAAAGGAATTAACCAAGCGATTAAGAGTGAATTAATCATTGTTTTAGAACTCGGTTTCAGTCTCCTGCTTGCTTGATTTCTTTAACAACTTTCAGCATTCTGGTCATCTCACAGTTTTGGAATTAATTTCTAATTTCTATAGTTAACTGTAAACATGAAGTAGCAGAAAAAAATATTAAATAGAAAATTCTTTTTGTCCACGCTAGAATAAATTTTTGAGTCATAACAAAATGATAGACTAGCTTGTAACTAACTATAGTTTTACTCTAGTAAATTGATTAGCTAAGATTTGACTTTAAGGATATGCATGGAAAAAGGTAACATTTGTAAGCTTCACTTGTCAAGATAAGGTGAAATACTATTTTGATAAATTTAGCAGTGGCAAACTGGCAACAATTTACTTCATCAACGAATAAATTATGAAGAAAAGGTATACGTTCAGACCATCATAAGTTTAATCTATCAATAGAGAAAAACAAGGCATTGACATGTGTCAGAGATGGCAGCAATGATACATAGTTAATATTTCTGAAGCTTTCATGTGATTTAATAAATTATACAACTTTCACCAGCAACTTAGTGACAGACTCTTTCAAGTGACTTCTTGCTGTGCTTCTAAGGGATTTCATACCGCTGGTATTCAAGTTTAGTAATTCACACTCACTTTATTACAGTATAAAAGAGAATACGCAGACTCAGAGACAAAAACAAATAGGTTTCTTTCAAACCTTGGCAACAAACTGAGTATTCTTCACCTAGAGCATTGAGAAACCGCTTTGTTACTTTTTCAGCTTCTTCCTGGAGCAATTAAAAATTTCACCATAGAAAAGGTCTCAATTATTAAGCAAAAATGTAAAAAAAGAGTAAAATTACAATATTTACTTTTTCTGGAAATGGAAGATCATCAATATATATGAAATAATCTTCCACTGGTGATGCCACAACCAAATCCCTGCATATGTAAAATAGATAGCAAAGACGTTAAATCAAACAAAATGTTGATATAAAGCAGAAGCCATAACTGTTTCAATAGCATGTTACTTACAGATTGTTCAGCTCAAACATACCAATAATGGTCCCGTAGATTTCAAGTGAGAATACTTAAATAAAGTCAAGGAAATTAAAACTGAAAATGTCATATTTCCGAGCAGAGGTTGCAGCAGCCAGCAGGTCTTGATGGCCTTGCACAACCCAATCCCACATTTTATTACTGAGCTATGTCTCAGTGGCATATCAACACTGAGCCAAAGTATCTAATGAATAATAAAGACATTAACCACAAAGGATACAGGGTGCACATTCTTTATTGAAGATGGCATCCTTGAGCAGCTGCAATGACTGGAAATGTAACAGCACATTTCATTAGAACTTTAAAATGTTGTATAATACTTAGCAGTACCATGAGAATACGTAGACTTTTTATATATTTAGTAGTAATATGCAAATAGCTGTTGTAACATTGTGAAGAAATTAAATATTGCTTATTACTTTATACAATGATTCGTCATGAAATTTGGCCACCAAGTATAAACAAAGTAACTTTCCAAGAGTACTGCAAACACGCTTACGCTTCCTGTATCTGAAAAACAAGCTGCAAGTAGAAGCTGGTTGATATTGTTGGGTGTTTCTTCTTACTTACAAGTTACAATTGTGATATTGTTGGGTGTTTCTTCTTACTTACAAGTTTACAATTGTGATTCAACATCCGCATGTGTACATAACTAATTCCAGTATGATATCAAACAACAGATTAGCATATTTTGGATGCCATGCTTGGAAAGGGGAAAAAAGAAGAGAAAAGAAAAGAAAAAGCTCTTCAGATATCAGCTTGCAAAGTGGTAAGAGAAAAATGAGGGAAGAAATAGAAAAAGAAATGCCATTTTCATTTTCACTGTCAGTTCATTCCTTCAAGTGGAAGATTATTCAATACTAGGAAGATAATGATTGCTGCATTTGGAAGAATTGACTTGATTCCAGAACCCCCCACCCCCAAAAACCAAAAAACAAAAAAAAGGAAAAAAAAAGAAAAAACCCCAGCCTGACCCCTCCCTTCCTCCTCCGTAAACAGTAAACACTAGCCTGTCCTCATCAGTGGTAAACCCTCCATCCACGTCGCTGCCAAACCCCTCCAGCTCCCTCGCCTCTCTGTCCCTCTCTAAACATAATTGGAAGTTATTATTTAACTAACTCAATGAGGGTAGATTATTCTTATATTTAACATACTAACCATTATACCAGAATATGGAGGAATATGCCGGGTATGTTCCTTCACAGAAAATCTATACGGTATTTTAGCCCAATATCAGAGGAGGATGTGGGGGTAAATTAGCAAATAGTTCAGATTTTGGGGTTAAATTTGCACATAGGGTAGATTTGTGGGGTATATAGGTAAAAAAAGAAAAAGAAAAAAAGAAAGGAAAAAAAGATCAGTGAGCTCAAAGCTTTCTGTGAGATTGAAAAATTAAGCATGATGGCCAAATTTTATTAAAAAATGTATATGATACTCATACATTTTCTGCTAGATTCAAAACAGAGTATGTTAGCCAAATTTTATTCAAAAGAGCAAAATATAATACATTGCTCAATAGAACTTATTTAAGCATTATAATCGATACACGACCAGTCATTTGATGCTTACAGTAAAGGCTAGGTCCCTTATTTGCATTCTGAATGATGCTTCATTAGAAAATGAGACTTCATCTGGTAAAGATATACAATCCCACCACCTAGAACAAAATGATATATGAAAATCAATGGCACGAACAAGGGTTCGCATGTTAGAAGAAAACAAAAGCTAAATCCACACAAAATATTTTATAACGCTACAATATTATGCATTTAGAAATATACAAGGTTAATCTTTTTCGAACTAGCAGTATTGTTCCTTTTACATTTTTCTTAAATGAGCAACTTTCATATTAGCCTTTAAAATGCAAACCGTGTATTCACTATTCAGTATGCACTTAGGGGTTTAAATCTTGAATGTCATTTAGAAACTCTTAATTTTAGCTGTTTGTGCTTATGAAAAAGAAACGCTAAAACATCAAATGATCAAGCTATTTTTGCTCAAGACAACATCCTAACATATCAGTTATGTCCCAGCTAAACTAGACTGACATGGCTAATCTTGGATCCATTTTGATACTTAACAGCAAGATTCTGGAAGAAACCAGAAATAGCTTACATGTTCCACCTGAGGTAAGATGCTACAATTAAGACCGGAAAAATATACAGTCATGTTCCCGTGGAATAGGTTAAACAGATCATGTTAAGAATTCAACAAGGAAAAGCGCAACTTACTTCTTAAGCCAGTTAAAATGTGAGCTGAACAACCCTCCAGACATTTTCCCAAACATATATGAATGTATAAGAACTACAGGTGGGTGGGTGCAAAGAGAGAAATTTCTCCTATTGGTTCTAAAAATAAGGATCTATCTCCCTGTTGTTAAGGCATGAGTAACACCCTTAGAGATAATATCACGCCTAAAACATGTGATAATTTTTCTTAGGGAACCCTAAAGCGTGCATCAAATGGTTGCACTAAACAGCTTTTCACTAATGGAACAAATATGACCACTAAATTCAGAGGAACATATACTGAATGACTGAAATCATATAAAATTTTTCATATAAGTGTTTTCAGGTATGGAGATTAGGATAATGGGCAGATCCGACAAGGCAGACATGAAGAGGGACAGATCAACCAGTCCACACATGAAGATAAGAGTTGCATTGTAGCCAAAACGGTATTTCTGCTAGTGAACAATTAGTAGTCCATTTTTTTCATTTGTGCACATTGCACACATCTTACGCTCACATGTACATCTTTTTTCTGTCCATACTACACTTACCAACACAAGCTAACAAAGTATGAAACATGATGTGGACACATGATTACCCAATCTGGGGGGGGGGGGGGGGGGGGAGAAGACATGAATGTATTGCCACACTGCCTACACATAGTATACTCGCAAAATAGACATTTAAGGGTGTGTTTGGCAGCACTCCAAAAGTGGGCCAGGACGAAATCGGGTTCAGTTTTTGGTGCTTTTCTGTTTGGCAAAAAATGGGCCAATGTTGGCCCAGTTTTTGCAAGTCAAAAAAAGGCCACCAAACTGGTTTTAGTTTGGACTAGCCCTCCCCCGGTCCAAACTAAAACCAGTTTAGAAAGAAACTGGGCTAGGACTAATCCTGACCCAGCTTTTGTCATTTTGCCAAACACGTGTAATATTAAAACTACTATAAGTTAGCGAAGCTAATTATATGTTTCGAAAACGATGCAAGAGTAAGTATTCTAAAGAAAGGATTGCAATGTGCTAGTCAAAAAATATATAAAAATTATTCATGTAATTTTTATTTAATAATTAAATAAACCTCAATATTATTCTCACTTCATGTTCTTCATTTAATAATGAAATTGTTAACATTTCTATATTTCAAATCAATATGAGTGACTTTATAATAACTTTCTTAAACATAAGTAGTTCATAAAAAACTCTATAACTCTTCATTTTAGATATATTTCAGTTCTCGGAAATTAAAACTAATGAAATGAATTTTATAGCTAATCAAGTAATTATAAAAAAAATGGAAAAGTGTCCTAATGTAAAAACATAGTGCCCTAGAATAGTGGCAGCACCTAGCACATTTTCAGAACATATTTTGATTATGGTGCATACATATCTTAATTTATGTACATAAAAAGCAGATCGATGTCATGATAAAATTCTTTCACTATGTCAGGTATTCTGCAGTTAAGTAATTCTCAGATGAAATTTCCAGAATTAAAGATTGTATGGCCCACCTTCCTTTGAATCCCATTGAAATGGACTTCCAGGCATCAAAAAGCAACGGAAAACAGGAACCATCTGTAACTTCCTGGTATACTTTATCCTTGCTATTTTCAATATGTTGTTTCAGCTTCCTGTACTTTAGAATGACAAAGGAGATCGCCTAAATAATGAAAAAGATGTTAAAGTTAGTTAGAGCCTCCCTTACATATTCCTTCTGTTCAAGGAACAAAAGGTTCCTCATTCCTGAACAGCAATGTCACCAGTAAAACCCAAGTGAACTGGTCCATTTGGTGCATGCATCCCTTACATTTTCATGGATGTACTACTCTGAGATTTGTTCTAGCACTCAATAAAATTTAATTCTGTGCATGTTATGAAATTTATGAATCATTTCTCAGATATTTCTTCCTATCTTTCCTATTTGATAATCAAATTTCAGATCACTAAATTTTGTAAGTTTAAAAAGATGAGGAATTGCAAATTATTTTGAAAGAATGCAGTTTGGTTCACCTAAGAGCAAGTCCTTTGCTAAGCAACTGCACTTTCCAAAACAATGGCAACAACATAGCCTCTTGGTAGAATATAGAAGATTCTGTGAATGTCATGCAAACATCACTATACAGTTGGACCTCTTTAAACATGCAATTTATGAAGAAAAAGAGGCATGCTTTGGTATTACCACCAAAAGAAAATATCTATTTTACCATGTATGGTTACTAGAAATATGAATTGTAGATAAAATGTCTTGTAAATTTCTTTTAAAATGCAGCAGCTGTTCTCTGAGTAAGATATAAACTCCATTTGCAGGACAAATTTCAATTTACAATATAAACTTAGCATTTAATAACTTGCATTGAGAAAATAAAGATATTAGGCTATTAGCTCCATTTGCAGAATTGTGGGTAACTACTGTTGTCGATATGCTTTCTCAATATGCAATCAAGTATAAATTAAAGCTATTGAAACACTACAGATCATTTTTTAATATCTGTTAATCTAAGCGTGAAGAGTTCTATCAGCAACATCCCAAGAATTTCCAATAAAAATCATGTAATATAGACATATATATTTATTGCGGACATGATGAAAATAAAGGCTCTACATTACTGCCATACCTTAGCAGCAAGGATGAAGATATCATTAGTCCCTAAAGAGAAATGTAAATAAATTAAAAGATGATAATATAGATGAAATCATGAAAATACAGAATTTATCTGTGAAACCATCAAAGCACTTAGTTTAGAAAAAGTTCCACTAGACTGTCAACATCAATCTAAAATTCAATTTGTTTGTTTAACCAGTTCCGTTGTGTCAGAGTGTAAAATTGGGCAATGCAAAGATGGAGATATTAATATACGACAAATAAGTGGGAATAATAACTTACTGTTAGCATGATCTATGAACCTAAGGAGTGCATCCCTTTGTGTGGATTCCACACCATTCCCATTACAGAGTAAAGAATGAAACAACCCCCAGTCAGAGTCTGCACATTGTTGACTACAAAAGATGGAGGGAAAATCAATTAAATCACATCGAGACAATGAAACCTACATGTACAAGTAGAGGATTGCAGAGGTCCATATATGTTTATGCATTTAAATATCACCTAGGAAAATCAATTAAATCACATCGAGATGATGAAACCTACATGCACAAGTAGAGTATTGCAGAGGTCCATATATGTTTATGCATTTAAATATCACCTAGCACACTTTTAATGAAGTCCAGAAAATATGCATAAAGATGATAATTGGTTTACTATGAAAATCTTCACCTACCTGATACTCAGGTTTCAAAAGAAAATATGAATACGTTTCTGGGAAGAGCATATTGGGGATGATGATCCCCTCAATCTTATTAAACTGTAGGATAAAAATGTTCAAAGTTCAAACACATATCACCAGCACATAACCAAGAAGGAAAGCACCTAATCACAAGTGTCAACGTCAACCAATATCAACCGGTCCACAGTGCACCAACATGAGAAATAAAACATGAGGATATGTTACAAGGATTAATGAGAGAATTGACCATCTTTCTAATCCTTCCGTCCCCCTTCACCATACTCTTCTCGCATTCATACCATGAGAAAAAAACCGCTTCTTGTATAAGAGAACAATATGGTGCTAGATAATAAATCCCATTACTACCCATAAATCATCTACTGAATACATAGTTACAGTAAAAATGTCCCAAACCGAAAAAGGTGCCGCATTGTCCATCCAAATGTGACCATGGACAAAACCAACTAGCACACAGCCAAACAGATGCTAAACAAGATGCGGGATAGTCAATTCCAGTGTAGGGAAGGAACACCAACAACAATAACAATCACAATCACCATGCTAGTTACCGATTGTTCAGGGATGTGTATATCAAGGTCTTCTCATTCAACTAATAGAGGTGTTGTAATAGACATGTTGGATTAGTCTTTGTGAATTAAGGATGACATATTACCTGCAATAGTGTTCTTCTTCACAACCACCTGGACACGCAACAACTGGAGGCAATAAAAAGTTCTTTGAGTGTGGTAATGATAAATCACCATTCATCAGTGATTCCAGAATCTCTTCAGAAAGAGAATTCTCCTTCAATTTCTGGGAAGTACTTGACCCAACACCATTACTATGGTCTGTAATAAAACCTTCGCCTTCATCAAGTAACTCAGTAGGGAAATCTTCTTCTGAAGTAGAAGATATGGTGTCATGATCACAATCCTGTTTTCTAGACAATCCTGTATTTTGAAAATAGAGTTTTCTCCCTATCTGAAGTTCTACTGAACCAATAAAACAAAAACAACGACTACACACAAGACAATCAACCTGAAATGTGAAAAGAGAAGTATCAGCTCATGAAAAGGGAACAAGTTCTACTATTCACATTCATCTCAGTAAACATGGACAAAGGTGATGATAGATTATATTAACTAGAAAAGAAAAATGAAGGACACCTTGTTTGAACTGTGTTGAGCAGCAAAAAGAATTTGGTCCTTCAAAATAAGTTCCCCTTCTTTGAATTCCTTGTTTGCAAAGACTCCTGCAATTCGATAACAGAAGTAACACAAGCTCAGGCTCAAAATCAACACTTGATGAACTTCACATGTTAAGAAGTAATACAAGCTCAAGGACAAAATTAACATTTGGTGAAATTCACAAGACAGTGAATTACAGCCTATGAAATTCCAGGGAGAAAACTTCAGCTCAAGCTCTGGTACCACCCTCCAACAAATTCGAGGGGGTAATAATAATACTGAAAAATGCTCAGGCAAAGAAACCTGAATCAGGAGTTTAGTAGACCCCTAGACTGAAGATCAGAGCCCAGAAACCACTTATACAGTGAACCAGACAAACATTTCTGCATAGCTTCATAAAGCACTATTTCGAAGTGCTACCATTAGAGGGTACGAGATAAATCTATATTTAAGATCCTTTAAATATTCCATTTATTCCTTTTACAAATAAGGTACAACAACAACAACAAAAATCCTTCGTCCAAATTTATGGTGTCAGCTACATTAGTCATATTCTTCTATACAGTTCTAGTATGAGTCATCTTCTCCATTAAGTTCACTATTATGATATCCTTATTAATTGCTTCCGGGCAAGGCCTTTCAATTTTATCTCGAGTCCTCTCAGTTAACTGGTGCATTTAGTGCCATGCCATTGTAAATAACCAACCAATTCCCACAATTCTCTCTGATTTATCCTCAATAAGAGCAACATCATACCTCTGACAAATGTACTCATTTCTTATCTACCTCGAGTCATATCCACAAATCCACAAGACCATCATAAAATTTAGTTCAGGTATTCTAATTTGATGTTTTTGCTTGGGCATTCACTGGAAAACCGATTTCTAAATGCTCTAAGACAGGACTCAATCAAATTAAACATGCAAAAAAAATTCGAAGATCTTCAGATTTATATTAAAATACCTTTTCCGATCTTTTTGGTGCGCTTAACTCTTATACCATCGCATTTTGTTTTTTCTATCAGCTCATCATAGTACTCCTGCGAAGAAAATAAATAAGTGACATAATTTACTTGATAAAGTTCTCAATTTTTATGTAAAATACAGTTCAAAGTTCAATTCAAGCTTAAAATTCAGACTAAAATCGAAGATTATAGAGAAGAGTTGGAACGAAATTAAAAGGGGAAAATGAAATTGAAGAGATTGCCTGCTCAGATTGAGGAGATGGGGGAGCGAGAAGAGCAGCGATCTGATCTGAGAACTCGGCGTCCAAAGGGCAAGGGCTGCTGCTGCTACTCATTCTCTAGAGAGAGAGAGAGAGAGAGAGAGAGGAGAGATTGTCGGGTTTTGATAGGGTTTTAGCGATCAGTAGGGTTCGTAGCGTTAATTGACAGGGAATATAATTAGTGGACTAGATCTCATTCGACCATAATCCGACCTCAGTGACGTCACGTATTCAGACGGAAAAGTAAAAGGGTAAAAACTTTAGACCATCTCCAGCAGGAGGTGAAATTTCACCTCCTTCTCTCCTGCCACATCACTTTATTTAATTCAATAATCTTCATTTCCCTATCAACTCTACAGCAGGAGATTTTTCAGAAAGTTTTTTACTTTATTTGGGACCCACCATAAACCACATCACTTCCATTAGGATAGTTTAACACACCCAAATTATTGAAAACACACCCAAATTGTAGAAAGAAGAAGAATAGGGTGTAGAAACTCAGAGTTTTTTCTGTGTCCAAATGACACAAAGTTAGTCTCTATTTATAGAGTTTGAAAAATGAAAATTAATGGTATAAAAATTATAAATTAATTCATTATATTTATCTCAAAAAATATCAAATAAAAATAAGGAGGAAAAAAAAAGCTCGCCCAATCATTGTTCGCCATGTGTCCGCTGGAATCAAAGCGCGCGCGTGGGCTTGTCAGAAAAGTCGGGGGTGAATTTTTCACCCTTTGGCCGCTCTCATTTTTTTCACCCCCTTAAAAAACCCCACCTGCCTTCAAATATCCCACAAATAAACCCCTGCTGCATATGGTCTTACAAGCCCCTTGAACTTAGGGGGTGCTTTGTGCAAGATCTTCTTAAACATTTGAAAAATTAAAGAAAATCTCCCAATATGGAAAGGGTAGTTTTTAGGTAAATTCGGTTTTATAGTTAGTCAAGGAAAAAATGTTTAAAAAGAACTAAAAAGAAGAAAAAATATTTTAGGAGAACTTTTGTTGGTGGAGGTGATTCGACTTTTAAAAAGAGTATTTTATCGTGTTCATAGTATTTTGCGAAAGCTCGCTAAAGTTTTGATTTTTCTCTCTAATTTATAAAGTTTGGAAATATTTTGTGAAAAACACAAAAAAGTTCAGAGAATTTTTGTGAATTTCACGGAAAATTCCGCTTTGGTGACGTTGAGGTTGTATGAGGAGGCAAAAGTCCCCGTTGAATTATTTTACTTTTCATTACTAATTCTCGGTAGAAATAAAATTTTGCAACAAGCTCGTTAACAACTCAGCATGTCAATTCGCGAGTCCCCTAAACGAGTACGTAGTTAGGTCCCCCTAGCGGCATTCGTTTGTTAATGCTCTCAAATTCTTTTCTTTGTCAAATTTAATCGCCGACCACTCCCTCGATAAAAAAGACGTGCTGTTCTCAGAGGAGAATCTTTTTGCTCGTTAAATACGCTTCTCTCCCCACCTTCCATTACCCGCGCCATGAATTTTCTCCGCCGCCGGCCAAAACCTCGCCCAAATTTACAAAGAATGCCACTCAGCACCCTAACCCCTCTCCTCAAAACCCTAGCCCTAGTCTCAGCCGCTTCCCTCATCCTCTACCTCCTCCTCTTCCCCAATCCCTTCGTCTCTCCCGCCGCCACCGCCGCCGCCTCCGCCGCGCCATCCGTCGCGGAGTCGCGGAGTCGGTGGCGCCACAGAGCTCCGCCATGTCGTCTTCGGCATTGCCTCCTCTTCTTTAAGCTTCGATCGCGCGGAAAGAGTACATTCGGCTTTGGTGGCGGCCGGGGTGCTTCGTCTTTCTCGAGAAGAGCTTGAATTCTTCAGGCGGTGATGAGAATCTTCCGACTGTTGTTGTTTCTGATGCTTCGTCTCGGTTTCCGTTTACTTTCAAGTATGGATTGAGATCGGCGGTTCGAGTGGCTCGGATTGTGAAGGAAGTCGTCGAAACCCTAGGTCGAGGTGGTTTCCTTGAACTTCCTCCTTCTTTGAGTTATAATTTCGTTTTGTAACTAAGACAACATATGAAAACTCAGTTATTTAGTACCTGGAATGTGTAATTTGAATTTCTTAAAAAAAAAGTTTAATTTTAACATTTAACTCTAGATTTTATTGTTCCGTAAACTCTAGTTTAGAAAGGTTTACATTTAAGATGGTTGGATAGAGATTGTTGTTGGTTGTTGTATATATTTGGAACCATTGCACAATGTTTAGTGGTAGGTTTTCCATAGCTATAATTACCTTTCAGACTTCAGGAATTTTAGTAATTACTCATTTGTCAATTGCTAGTTCATCACTTCTGCTTGATTTTAAGTTGGAACTCCTCAACTCACGTACAAAATTTGCTGGATTTGGACCAAAACCATGAATTGCGCATTTTTCCTAACTAAACAGGCCTCAAAATGAAGGGATGCATGCAAGAATTTTATTAGCAAATCACACATGCCAACATCTGAAAATTACCATCTTTAGATGTCATTAGGAAATTGGCTGCTTAATTAAGTAGTTTATGGAATAATAATGATGTCTATAAATTTTTGATTGCAGGCCATGATGTGTACGGAACACATGCATGAAGTTTGTTTTATTTTATATGATAGATTCTTGAATTCTGTTTGTTGATCTAAAGAATTAGCACTTTAGTAATCAGTAAATTATGAGCTAATATTGTAAAGAAACCATAAATTTTTTGTGATATGCTTTTCATGAATATATCAACATATTTTTGGAAATATAATACTGAAAAATTTTAGCTGCTAGAAAATTCTCTAATTGATATTTTTTTCAATGGGAATTGACTTCAAGCTCATAAAAAAATTTGTTATGACTTTTGAGGATCCTTATATTTATATATTTCATATTTTACGCATATGATAATAGTAAGTTATTGATGAAATTCAATATGGTGTTTAAGATATTGGAACCCCAAGTCTTATTAATATTAAATAATCCCCACAATATTTGATATTATAAAAAAAGTCTCCCGAACTCATTGATTACCTCTAGTCCATTTGATTTATGAGCAATGCTTCAGTGCTCCGAAAATAAAAATTTTAACAATTTATAATCTGTAGAAAATAGGAAATAAGCTAAAAATTAGGAAGGATAATATTGTCTTCCTATAAATACATTTGTTTTTATCTTCTATTCTGTTTTGCCAATCCGTTACTTTCCTTCCTTTTTTCATGCTTCGAAACCCCTCATCCTGCCTTCCTATTTTCTTGCTTCGACTCCTCCATCACACCATGAAGGCTGGGAGCATATATGATATTGAAACAATATTTTTATCATGGACTGATTATAAAAAAGGGAATGATGTATGAGGGTACTCCATTGTTTTTCTCAGAACACTGAGTGAAGATAATATAAATAAAATTTAGAATTTTTTAATGATTTTGACTATTTGGAATTTACAAGAAAACAACTTGAAATTTATCTCCAATTATCTAAAATAGGCTACAAATATTTATATCAAATTTATTAAAGTGATTATCATCTATTATTTATCTGAGAATTTTTTTTCAATTTTGGTTCAAACCATGTTTATATTTCACCCTAGAAAACAAGATAAGTATGGTTTGGAATTTTTTTTATCTGCATTAAATCCTTAAAAGGAAAGGAGAAAAGTACCTACCCAAATTTATGTGCGATATTTTTCAGAGAAAAGTAAAAACAAAATCCACAGAATATTATCGTACGGAAGTTAAAGGAAAGAAAAATAAAAATTAGGGGGATCTATAGATTTATAACCGATCTTAAAATTTGTCTATATTCTTATATTTAATTCCTAATGTACCCTTATTCCTATCTTAGAAGTTGTAGTTATTTACCAAAATAGGTGTGAAAGAAGTACTAGCTATAACATAGGAATGCGATGGAGAAAAACCCGGGTTAAAATTACAGAGGATACCATCGGTACTCCAAAGGAGAACCGAAGCTGTTGGCTTAATTTATATCTGTTAGTTTAACAGCCAAACAAAATAATTATTTTACTTATTCTGTTGTCCTGTTATACGCTTGTCTTCAAGCTCCACTTCTAACCGTTATGAACGCAACAACTCCGTATAAACTCATCAAATTCGCACCTAAGAGCATATAAAATCGGCTGCTTTGATGGATTTAAAATGAGTTGTTGTCTTCATAAATGGTAGAATTTGGGGGTTGAATACATGAGTATAATGGGAAAACACAAAAACTAGCTCTCGTCACTTCTCTCATGGTTAAGCTTACAGACGTAAACTAAAGTGACTTGTTTGGGATAACCTATAAGTTTTAAGGTCCGTATTTTGTAATGTCAAGTTTCTGGGACTTACTTCAAAGTTGATGATATTTGGGTGGACCATATCTCAAAATTGATATTGTCGTTGTGCCACAAGATTCACAAAGAAGTGCATAGATTTGTTTGTAACTGGTATTACAACTTGCAAATGTTGGGCTTATATGTAGGTAAAGGCTTGCGCCATGGTGATGTCAAGTGGATTGTGTTGTGTGATGATGACACACTGTTCTTTACAGAGAATCTCATCAAAACCTTAGGAAAGTATGATTGGGAGCAGTGGTATTACATTGGAGGGTTATCAGAGAGTGTGGAACAGAATTCTAAGAACTCATTTGGGATGGCCTTTGGAGGTGCGGGGTTTGCTATCAGTTACCCATTGGCTAGAGTTTTGTCCAAGGTTCTGGATTCATGCCTCATGAGGTATGGTCATTTGTATGGAAGTGATGCTAGGGTCTTCGCATGCTTGGCAGAGCTAGGCGTTGGGTTGACTCATGAGCCAGGGTTCCATCAGGTAAGATCATTGTCGACCAAAATTTCCTACTTTCTCTACTCTGGTTATTTGTTCGTAAAAGTACTCTGAAAACTCCACACCAGCAAGGGGGTGGATTCAAAAATTCAACTTTGGATCGTTCAGAGGCGACGACCAGTCGTCCTGTGCATGTTAACAAAGTTCAAAGGCAAAAGATAAGTTGCTCAATCACAATAATGATGAGCTGTATTATCAGAAAGATAACTCAAGAAAGAGGGTTGTCAGAGAAAACGAGTCTCATTGCGCTTGCGAGAGACTCATTAAAGCAGTGTTGACAGAATGCGGATGCTCTAAGAATAATTCAACAAGAGTCTCCGTATTTCAAAGATTGTCCAATGAAGCGTCAAGACCCAGAACAAGACGTTTCAACAAGAAGAAATCTGTAATCCGACAGGATGAGTTCCCTGAAGTCACTATCAACATGACCAACAAGGGAAAGCAAAAGTCAGTTAACCACGACCCTGATTTTTCTCCGGGAGGGAGAGTTGAGCGGGGTCTTTCTCAAAGGATGGCGCGGTTACAAAGAAGAGCCAACTTACGTCGAGATTACAGGAGAATGCACGAGGGTTTATCTTCAGATGAAGAATTGTCGGACACTTGTTCCGCTATTGCATCGGACGATACTGCGTCCAGTGTTGGACGAGTCAGGGAATCATTCGCAATCACACCGGATCAACTGGCTCACATGCTGCAGGAAGCGTTGGCTAAACAACGCGAAGAAATTAGAGCTGAGTTCAAAACCGAAATGGAGTTGACTATGCAGCAGATGCGAGACTTGCAGGTGCAACAACACCAACCGGAGTCGAGCCAGAAGGCGGAATCCAGCCGGCGTAATGAAGAGGACGAAACTATCTTTGACGATCCTCCTCCAGATAAAGACAACTCCGAAAGCGGTCCGACTAGGTCATCCACTCAACCTCCACAGATCTACTTGAAGAAAAGTGAGGAAGAGGATAAGAAGATGCATGATCAACTATTGATTTGTTTAGTGGACAATTGTGATTATTTCCGTATCCAACACTCATCATCCGCCCATGAATTTTACTATTTTCTTAATTTGCACTCAAAGGCAAATCACAACCACTTATTAAACATATCAACGGTTGTGATATTGCAATGGTTTCTCCACTACTCTTTTTGTAGTGGAGAGGATCCAAATCCTGATTTTGGGGATGATCTATGTGTAATATATTGGATATCTGAAAGTTATTTGTATATGTGAATTGTTTATATTTAAGAGTATGCTTTATGATAAACTGAGTATGATTCTTGGTTCATACATATTTTTCCTATATGGTAATAATGGTTTTGGAGTTTGAACTCCTATCATTGAGCATCTATGTAGCCTTGGACATAAATCATGTGTTGCTCAAAAGAATTTCTTGCTTAACTAGACTTGTATGGACATAGTGTCGTTTGGATACTAGATTTAGAAACATTGCATGAGAACCCTACACATATTGATCTAAGTTCAGACTTACTCAGCATTATGTGCCAGAACTGGATCCTGCATGCGAAATAAAAATTCTTGATTTAGAGAACTGGGACCTGTTTTAGCCTCAGGACGTTTAGGGAATCCATAAATCCACTCTCTTATTTGCTAGATAAAGTCCTTTTATTATCATGTGCTGTCTAGTAATGTTGTAGAAATGCCTGATTAATCAGCGTACTTGATGTGCAAGGGATGCTCTGAGATTCCTTCCATATAAAATTGGTGAATAATTTCTATGTTATCTTAAAATGAAAAATAATGCTAGGGATTTTGAAAATAGAATCTTCTGTATGATAGTATGTATGTCCCCTGTATTAGTACCTTCACCCAAGGAAGGTCCCTCTCATCTCAGCTCTAAATATTCCTCCTTTCTCCATTACAATGTAGGAAATTTAAAACATCCTCATACTTGTTACCTAAAAAATAAATCTAATGTATTATTGTACAGGTAATTGTATCCATGTCAGCTATATATTGGTACAATTTTCACAGACAAGTCTCTTTCTTAGTTGCAAATGAAAGGGTAGAATGCTAATTTTACACTAATTTAAATAGTTGAAGTGAGAGGAGGGAGAAGTGAAGTTTTTCCTTTTCTATTTTATTATTTTATTATCTTCCCTCCATTTCATCTGCTGATCTACATTCTCTTTTTGTCATTTCTTCTCACATTTAATCTCACAATATTTCCTTTAAAAACACCTACTTCAATTATGAGTCTATAACACATTTAAGCAAAGAAATCCTTAAAACATTTATTAGGAGCATTTATAAATTTAATTACTAAAATATATTAACAAGTAGATATTCTACATAAAAAACTTTTAATATAAAATCATCTAAGCTGTATTTAAATTGTCTACATATCTATTCTACTAACACAATAAAATCCATCATTTCTTTTTAGGGCCTGTTCGTTTGCCTAAAAAAAGAGGGAAATCAAAGAAATGGAAAACTATTAAAATGAAGAATTGTTTTTGGAGTGTTTGGTTGGCTAAAAAAAGAAGGAAATCAAAGAAATGAAATTGAAATGATGTTAGTTGTCACCTTATTATTGGATGATGTTTGTGATTTTTTAAAAAAACTAGTTTTGGAGTGTTCGGTTGGCGAAAAAAAATAAGGAAATGAATTATAAGAAACCTATTTCCTGTAGTTTCTTGTTTTCTTTTGTTCGGTTCATTCTTAAAAATAAGAAATGAAATGAGATGAGATGAGTTGTCAGTGTATTATTGGTGATGTGAAGAAAGATTAAGAAAAGTGTTTTCATAACTTTTTGGGATGAAAATGAAGAAATAAAATGTTAATGAGATGAGGTGAATTGTTATAATATTTTATTGGATGATGTGAGTGATTTGAAATGATGAGAAGAGATGAGTTGAGTGATGTTTGGATGAAAATAATATTTTATTAGATGTGATGGATGAGTTGTTAGATGAAAATAATATTTTATTAGATGTGATGGATGAGTGGTTAGATGAAAATCATATTTTATTAGATGATGTGGATGAGTTGTTGGATGGAAATAATATTTTATTGGATGTTGTGGGTGAGTTTTAGGGATGGAAATGGAGGAAATGGTGAGTTTTGAGATTTTCACCATTTCCATTTCCATTTCTTGGTTTTTAGAAAACAAACGAACAGACCCTTAGAGTCGCAACTTGAAAAAGAAATGAGACAAATATAGGATGAAAAGATTGCTATTGTTTGGCTTTTACCATCTACTGCATAATGCATTTAGTAGTACATCTTTTGGTGTGTAGACTTCATGAAAAATAATATATATAAAAAAAAATTCAATTAGGTTTTGTGTGTGTTGAAATATCAATAGAGAAATCAATGTTTCTTGCACGCACAAAATATCCAAAGATGCTATTCCATATAATGCTCTTTTTTGAGACTTTGTATATTTACATAATCAACCCAGGCCGTGCAACTTGGTATCATTCTTATTTCCAGGCCTGGGTAAACAATTAATTATGATGTTAGACGATAATAGAAGATGATGGCTTTATGTTGTTTAATGGTTTTAAGCGTCAAGTTACAATTTTAGTTTGTGTCCTTAAGCGACTTTCCTTTTTGGTTCTGAAATCACATACCTCTGATTTGAACTTAACCAAATACCTGTTGCTGACTAATGTTTTTGTTTTGGATAGTGTGTGCACTCTTTTTCTTTTCTTTTTCTTTTTTTGGGTGGGTTTGGGGTGGGGGTCCAACTCAGAAGTCAAATTTTCTTGTGGATACTTGCATACCAGCTTAGGAACCTGTTTTCATGCTTCTGATGGGCAGAGTACGTTTCAGGTAGAGGTGTAAATCAATATCTAAATTATCCGAATGTGTTGTTCTGCATTTAGACCCATTAGGATGTGGGTTTCAGATCTTCAGTACATATATTGTGGGTATAGCCCAGATCTAAAGTGCTGTCTGTTTGTCAACAGAACAGGTCAGGGTAACAGAGTAATCATAATCCTAGCTATTAAGAAAACCAACATAGTTCCTTTACTGAAATATCTATGCTTAGCAGATGGTGGATTCACAAATATCCAGAGAAATATTTAGCCTACTTAACACCTAGACGTTCAGAGCAGGATAATATTCAAATTTGAGCACCGTGAATCGAAGTTTGAAATGTCCACTAGGATATGCGGTTGAACAGTTAGTTTCAGATAGGGATATCACTGTTTCCTCTAGATTGAAATGTCAATTAAGATATCTGTCTGAATAATTAGTTTCAGACACGGATATCACTGTATCCTCTCTGTTTAAACCCTTAAAGGTCGCACGATCAACAGTTAAATTCACCTTGAAATTTCATTATTTCTGTTGCTCAACATTTAAAATTTCTGGTGGACTTTATTATTACCTTTCTATCCTGACTTCATGTTACAGTACAGTCTGTTCTCTCATATGAGAGGGAGGTCCTCAGGAATTCATCAATTAATTGAAATCCAGGGGCCTTGAGCGGAATTGAATCAGTTTAACCTGATGCACGGAGAATGCTCATTTTACAGTTGACATCGTCAGAGAGTCTGATGGTAGTGGATATGCCATCTTCTAGACTGGTGATTGAGTGGCAACATGAGCGAGTGGTGACAATAATTTTACCTATTCCTAAAATAGGAACAAATCATGACAGATATTTGAGTTAGATTTGAATTGAGATTTGAACATAGCTTTTCAATATTCAACAGGATTTGCGTCTTCTTTTTTTAATCTTTTTTCCCTTAAAATCGAGACACATGTTTTTATCTAGCGAATAAGATTATCCAATCATGATGAGTTTGTTTTTTAGTTCTATAGAGTTATAACCTTATAGCCTGTGTTGGCGTTTCTTGGAAGTTCAACTTTGACCTTTTTTTCAGGTTGCCTGAGAAAATCAATTTAATTTAAACTTAAATAAATAATTCACCAAACTTTATACACATGAATGTGTTTTGCATATTAAATTACATGCTATATTGATATACAATTCTATATGGAAGTTAAGATTTCATTTGTACGCTTCTGAAGTGAGGCCTTTACTTTTCATTTATCAGGTTGACCTTCGCGGGGATCTGTTTGGAATGTTAAATGCACATCCATTAGCACCTCCAGTTTCACTTCATCATTTAGATACCGTGGATCCATTATACCCTGGAAAGAACCGCTTGGAAGGTTTAAAGCATCTATTTGAAGCTATAGATGCAGATCCAGGAAGGGTTTTTCAACAAATTATTTGTTATGATAACTCAAACTTGCTTACAGTTTCAGTTTCCTGGGGATATGCGGTTCAGGTATATGAAGGCAATTTACTTCTTCCGGACCTCTTGTCTTTGCAAAGGACATTCACCCCATGGAGGAGAAGACATTATTCTACTTCTGATATATTATATATGTTTAATACAAGGGAATTTCCCCGGGATCCATGTAAAAGACCGGCTGTTTTCTTTCTTGATAAGGTGCTTTGTTCCAATGATAGGGTTGAGAGTAGTTATAAGAGAAATATCTCTGGAAATTGTCAGCAAACTGAGGGTCCATCAAAGTATTTACAGAAGATTAGTGTCTCCTCAGAAAAACTTGATGTTCAGATTAGACAGGTACTGTGTCAGGCAGTTTGTAATTATTTTCTTTTGCCTGTTCTAAGTTATCAAATCATAATATGGATGATGTGTTCTCATTTAATCCCTTCGTTCTGTAGTTGCTGGCTCCTAGACGGCATTGCTGCGATGTTTTAGCTTCTTCAGAAAAGATGATGGAGATAAATATTCGACAATGTAAAGATGATGAGTTGATTGCTATGAAGCCATAGTAATTGCTAGGTGAATTTGGTCCCAGATAGAGCTGAGATTACCATCTGCCCAAAGGTAATCCTACTGCTTGCATGCTTGTATTTACATTTCAAGCTAAAAATACTAAAAGGGTTGCATTTTATCTAAAGATGTTGTGGCCTTAACAGAAGGTAACACCATGATGACATAGCATTGGCATCTGCAATGTAAGCAGATCTAAAGAACTTACAGAGATCTAAAGAGGCTGACGGTTTCATATACTATGTAAAGGAAGGTAACCATGCAAGTTCAGACTTGTTGGTAAAATATGATGTGTGTGACTACTGCATGCCTATGGTCAATGTGACTTGCTGGTGTCTTCACAATTTTTATTTTTATTTTTTTGGTTTCTTTAATGAAAATTTTGCACTGTAGAGTAGACAAATCTGCCTCCTATTTTATCACCTAGGAAAGGCATGTATGACGATGGTTTTTCTCTAATCTAATAATTGGTTCTATGCTTGCTTATGTGTGAGCATACACGTGTCTGCTTTGGTTATTTAACTAATAGGATTTTCTAGAAAATCATATAAGCAGAAAGGAGAATGTACGGCATGTATCCTGTGACATATTATAAAGTTGGTGATTATAATTCTAAATGCTTTGGCACAGAGTTTGGATTGTTCTAGTTCTGATACAAATTTGTGATAGGATGGATCTAAAAGTGGTAGAACATGTGTTATATTCTCCTGCACCCCCTATATGAATTTCAATACAGGACACTAGGATTTTCTTTTTCATTTCAGACTTGGTATAAACGGTTATGTTGCACTAGCAAATGTTCAGCTTATCTACTATCTTAATGAATGAGTGCAAGCTTTCAGATCTTGGGCATCAAGAAGCTTAAGAGAGAATCCTTCCATGCGTAATGCCTGGCTAGCCTGGCTTACATATGTAAAACTGTAAATAGTCTTGAGATTTTATCCGATGCAATACTTCCAAATGCATCAAGCTGTTCCAAAACTTCTCAGTAACATGGAAATGATGACTAACTCTCTGCTTGCATATTTTCTTTTCCGTATTATTTTGATGACTACTTTTTATAATTATACTATTATCTGATATTCAGTTCTATTTTATGTATAGCTGCATCTTTTAGTTCATGTACTCTGCTGTCCTTTTAGGAATTGCTGAATTGTTCAAGTGATCAACCAGCTAACTGTTCAGAGAGTATCTTTCTAAAGAAAATGGATGGAAATGGTTATAGCGGTTTTTTTCTACTACAGAGTAGTTAAGGCTTTCTTTCTTTGAAGCACTATCTTTGTTATTGGCAGTGGAAATTTTTGATTAATGAGAAGCTCTTGACCTAAAACCTTTATTAGAAAAAACTAGACAGTGATATTTTAAGTTGTAAATATTATTTGACTGAATAAGGTGGATCATCCCTACCCCCTTCCTAAGGAAAATAAAATTCTCAAAGCCTGGAGCTCGACCTCCGCCTTTACAAGTACTTTATTTGCCAAGTATTAATTTCCTCTATATCTCAAATATATCTCTGTACTACAAGAATCATCAGGAAAATTTTGAGGCCTTTACATGTATTTAAGGTATACAGTTATTTTTGCGATAAAAAAAGTATACAGTTATTTTTGAACTTAATTCTGGCTACAACTCCGATGGACAGTTCTATTGTTGTTTTCATCACTGATAACGATAGACAGTTCTATTGTGTTTTGTTTGGGAGTTTACTAAGGAAAGGGACGGAAGTTAAATAATAGAAAGGAAATGTACGGATAAAATGTTGTTTGGGAGTTTAGTAAGGGGAGCGGAAATAAATTTATTTTATCTTGTTTAGGAGTTCTAATAAAGAGGAGGGAAGTGAAGTGAATATGTATAAAGTTATATAAATATCCTTACATATTAGATGGGAGTATATCTTCGCCATTTATTTTAATGTCATAAGGATATAATTATCTTATCACATTGTAAAATTTTGCGTTGGTTTTTATTCCATCCTCTATCCCCCGAATTGGAGGGAAGGAAAATGGAAGGAAATTTAACCTTCCATTCCATCCTGTTAACTCAAAAAAACTCCCAAACAAGGTGAAATTGAAATTTCACTTTAGCTTCCATGCATTAACCTCCATCCAAACAAGGTGGTGTTATTTCTCTTTTCTTCCCCTTTCCTTCTGTTTTCTCCCCCTTTCATTTCCTTATTCCGATTATTATCAGAACATAGTTTTTGTTATTATTCTTACGAAGTGTTGGTTGTTAGCTATTATTTTTCTGTTATTTCCCTCTGTTTTCTTTAAATTTGCATTCTTTTTTCACTTTTTATCAAGCAATTCATGGCTGTTGATATGATGATCAGGAACATGGTCGCTGTTGATATGATGATCAGGAACATGGTCGAGAAACATTTTCTGTTGGTGCTTCTGATATTTATAAATCTCTGATTGAACATTTTACAGTTCTGATTGTTTTCAATCTGCACCCTCTGAATAGGGGATGCTTACCATCTACAAAGATATCGACATGAGAATACCATGTTTTGCACCCAAATGTAATGAGTGAGAAGATGGAAAATAAGTTTACCAACCAGATGGATTTTATTTTGAGTACTTAACGATCCTTGTGAAGTAGATATAAAACAAACCAAGCAAAGATTAACAACCAAATGGAAGAACAGTTTTTTCTTAGTTGATGATTACATGTGCAAACCTATTGGATACACAAGGATAAGATATTACCAATCATGAATACATAGATAGCGCGATAAGAAAAAATCGATGTAAGTAAATGTATGTACTAATATTATCAGACATAATGGAATCATATATATATATTATATATATATATATATATATATATATATATATATATATATATATATATAATATATATATATATATATATATATATATGAGAAAAATGGGTATACTTGGCACCAAGCCACAAATTTTGTGCTTGGTAGTGAGGTGTCTCATTCCCATGCCACTCATTCAATTGGGGGGACCAAATTCAACCCATGTGAATGTGGTCCCCCCATTTGAATGAGTGAGAGGGTAATATGCCACCTCACTACCAAGCACAAATTTTATGCTTCGGTACCAAGCATACCCATATTTCTCTTATATATATATATATATATATATATATTATAGAGTAAAACTTGTGTTCAACTTAAGTGGACGTCCACTAAGTTTCTTACCCATTGATGATCACATTGATTGAGCTGCTTTGTGATGATCCGCTCCGTGCTTGAACTTGATCTACATATTCTAAACCCAACACACCAAATTTGGGTGAATCCGTCATGGTTTGACCCTTCATCCACTCGTTATCAATTTTAATGGTTTCAAATGAATAGAACTTTTTACATGGCTTGCGACGGAGGGTCAAACCACGACGGGTTCACCCAATCAGAATTGGTGTTGGGGTTTTAGAATATGTAGATCAAGTTTAACGGAGCGGATCATCACCCAAGCAGAGCTCAATCAAGTGATCATCAATGCGGTAAGAAAACTAATTGGACGTCCACTTAAAGTTAGACACAAGTTTACTCTATATATTAAAAAACATATATATATATATATATATATATATATATGGGAAAAGTGAATCTAAGGTGACACCCTAGGCTCCCACCTAAGGACGCGGTCTAGAATCACATCATTTCCTAATTTTTTTTTACGATCCGCTCCGTTGAAGTTGATCTACACATTCTTAAACCCAAACACACCAATTTTGGGGTGAATCCGTCGTGTTTTGACCATTTATCCACTCGCTATAATTTTAACGGTTTCGAATGAATAGAACTTTTTACACGGCTCAACGAATGGTCAAAACACAACGGGTTCACCCTAAAATTGGTGTGTTTGGGTTTAAGAATGTGTAGATCAAGTTCAACGGAGCCGATCGAAAAAAATTTAGGAAATTGATGTGATTATAGGTCGCATCCTTAGGTGGGAGCCTAGGGTATATATATATATATACTCAATATTCAATTCAAGGAAAATTGCTCAAGACTCTCTCTCTCTTTCTCTCATACTTTAACCTGCATTAAATTCTCAAACTAAAAAATTAACAATGACTAAATTAATATTTAAAACAGTAAAAGTTTTCTATTAAATTTTTAGCTGTTATAACAAAGATTGCCGCTTTTGTGTCCGAAATGAAATAGTAGAATGCGGAGTGAGCTGGACTAAAACCATAAAATAAAATTGAGCGTCTAAAATCAGATTCAGCTATGTAGCTGTATAAAAGAACTAGAATCTCTAAATCATCAAAATTAAATTTAAGCTCAAAATCTTTCAACCCACATAGATATACGTATTTGACGTTGGATGTCATCTCAATTATCAAAATGAGCTACGGAAAGATGATAAAGATGATGCAGTTCACACCTTCCAATCTAACTAGCAAGGTGAGTTTCACATTTCTCCATCTCTTGGCAGCTTGTATACCAATTATGCTTATTATTTTTCACACACATCATCCATTTTTATAACGTATATACATATACAAATAAATATATATGTAGATATGGGTATCCACTTGTACTCGCAAAGGAATCCATTCAAAGGCTCAGCCTGCAGCCATTGACGACCCAAAATAAATCTTTCAACCCACACCAGGCATCACCCATGCTTTAGGGGTTTCTTCGAGTGTAGGCCCTACTAATTAATCGCTAGCCAACCACCCAGACCACAGCCATAAGGCTTTTGGCCAATGACTTTGGTCAAAGTTACACTAACATTGAGGATAAATTTTCAAAACCACCCCTTTTTGGATTTTATTTGCAAAAAACAACCCCTTTTGAAAATAATTATAAAAACCGACCTGTTTTCAGCCCAGCGCTGAAAACAGGTCGGTTTTTGTAAAAAAAATTCCGAAACATCACGGGAGTTCAACTCCCGTGAAGTTTATCGAGAAATTAAACTTCACGGGAGTTGAACCCCCGTGAAGTTTAATTTCTGCTTAAAACTCCACGGGAGTTCAACTCCCGTGGAGTTACAGTCAAGCATTCCCAGAGAACCGACCTCGGTTCTCTGGGAAATTGGGACTGCAACTTCACGGGAGTTGAACTCCCGTGAAGTTGCAGTGCCAACTTCCAGAGAGCAGCTCTGGCGATATTTGCTGTTTGGAAGTTGGGACTGCAACTTCACGGGAACCCTCTTTCTCATTCGCCGCGGCGCCCAAGCCCGGAACCGCGGGCCCAGTTTTTTTCGGATCCGGGCACCCGCGCCCCCACCCAGCTTTCGGCCGACCGCCCGCGCAGGAGATTTGCCCGCCGCCGCGCGCGGAGATCCGCTCCACCTCAGATCTCAGTCTCAGAGGAAAAAACAGGTAAATTCTTCCTAAAAAAATTTATACTCTCTAATTTTTGTATACTCTTACTATTTGATTGTGATTTCATATAAAAATCTAGATTTTAGAATTTAATTGTGAATTATTTATGAATTTTGTGAAGAAATGTGAAAATTAGAGGGGAAATTATCAATAAATGTGAAAGTTAGAGGGGAAATTATCAATAATTTTGTGGAATTTGTGAAGAATTAGTGTGGAAATTATACTTTGATTGAGAGTTATATAGGTTCGTGTGAAATGGGGTCGGGCTGGGGCTGGGTCACGCGGGCCTTAAATAGGCTCGCAGCTTCACGGGAGTTGAACTTCCCGTNTTGAACTCCCGTGGAGTTTTAAGCAGAAATTAAACTTCACGGGAGTTCAACTCCCGTGAAGTTTAATTTCTCGATAAACTTCACGGGAGTTGAACTCCCGTGATGTTTCGGAAATTTTTTACAAAAACCGACCTGTTTTCAGCGCTGGGCTGAAAACAGGTCGGTTTTTGTAATTATTTTTAAAAGGGGTCGTTTTTTGCAAATAAAATCCAAAAAGGGGTGGTTTTGAAAATTTTTCCAAGCTTTTGAGTCTTCAGAAATATATTTGAAAAAACTTTTGGGTTCCTTGTGGTTGTTTCCTTCTAATTTGTTTCCGAGGTCACTGTCATTTTCCAAGGTTAGGTGTAGACCATCCATTTATACCCTTGTCTTTGAGTGAGGATGACTATTAGGTGTTAACTCATAACAGTGTAAGTTAGGTGCATATGTAATAGAAAAACAACTTGGTTTACTCTACTGAGATGACTCATTCACGCTTTTCATTTGGTTTCCCTAGTAGGTGAATTTTGTTTGATCCCCTCATTTACCAGTATTTTTCAAAGAATGAAAAGGAAAGTTTAGTAAAACTAAGTAAGTAGTATGTATCTTAACGTAGTTGGTGAAGGAGATTTTTCACAGCATGCAACCATAGACCAAGTTAAAAAAATTTCTTGATTCAATGCATAGGCATTCTTCTACTTAGTCTATGATCATTATCATGTAAATATGTTTGTTTTTACTTCCCCTCATCTTTTACGTCACGATTAGATCATAATGGACTATTTATGTTGCTTTTAGAGAAACTTTTGAATGGGAGGATTCAGCCATATGTTACTTCTAACAATGGATTTTATTCTGGGAAATTAATAGGGAGGAGATAGCGAGAGAAACCTGCTCCCTCTATGATCGATGCTTGATGATGATACTTTGAGACTAGTCAACCAATAAATGAGAAAATTAAGCCATTTTTGCGTGCGTGAAAATCTTGCAAAAGAGTTTAGTTGTATGTTTTCTTTCTGTGAGCGTGTAATATAATATCGATTTTTTTTGAACGAAGTTTGAAGGTTGGCATCATATTTGATATTTGGAAATAGCAGTTTTTGTAGGTACATTTGACAAAAACCCTGCTGGACTTTGGGGTGATTTTGCAGAAAACCCTCGTAACTTCATATTATAGAGAAAATCAGCTTGAACTTTCAAAATTACACATATATAACCCGTTTTAACGATTAAGAATTGTCGTAAAAAGAGTAATCTGAAGAGTAAAAGGTCTAAACCCTGCAAACCGATGAGAAGCGGCGAAATGTAAATTAAGGAAGTGGACAATGTCAAAGGAATAGAGGTAAATTAATTTTGATGAGGAAGAAACAGAGAAGTTAGGGAACGTCAATTTGAGATGGATTCAGACGAAGTGCATGACAACTTAAGCTATTTACCATCACTCACAAGTTCTGGAGGAACGTTTCCTAAATTTATAGCATGTAGGGTTGTTTTGTGCAAGAACACCCCCAACGCCGCGTTGATCATGTAGGGGTGCTTTGTGCAGAACATTTGTTTATCTCCCTCAAATTAACGTACTTAAAAATGTCCACCGTCTATTTTTACATCATCAGCATCATTATCGTTATAATTTGAAGACAAATGTCCAAGGGTAGACAAATTACCCACAGTTGTAGTTACTAAATTCTAATTATCACCACACTTCCTCAAACAAACACAGAAATATCCGATACGTTTCTAGTTCGTTTAGTAAAATAACCACATTCAACGCAAGCCGCCACGGGGGCCAACACATCCTACTTTCTCTATTCTATTAACTTTGTAATTGTTATTATTATCATTACTACTAATTCTGTCAACATCAACAAATGGTCGTCAATCTCAGCAAAACCTTTTAGACTTGGTCTAAAATCCCTCTATAAATGTATATGCACACGGTTACTATTGCCAGCTTCATATCAACCTCTTCTCTCTGTACTCCTCTGCAAGCCCCTTCCCATAGAGAAAGATGGCGGTATCGAAGGTTTTCCTTTTCGTTACGGCGATGGCCATTATCTTTGAGCTTGCAACGGCGAGGAACATCACTGTCGGTTCTCCCGGTGGGAGCTGGGATCTTCAGACCAACCTCGGCGCCTGGGCTCAAGGCCAGACGTTCGACCAGGGCGATGATCTGGGTGAGCTTTCGTAACCTTCTGGATGATAAACTCAATTTTCTTTTAAAGCTGGTCATTTCTTATCTCTTAAGCTTTTTATTAGCACTTACATATCTCTAACAGAAAATTCTATATGAGCATCACGTGTGTTGTTAAGAAAGATATCTTGATATCTTACTGTGTTGCAGAGGAATCTTTCAAAATTCTCTTGTTAAGTGTTGAAATATATCCTGTGTGTTACATGTAATACATGTATAGACAATGAAGAGATAACTCAAAAGATTAGAAGATCTGGGTGCTAATAAAAAGTTTAGGGATAATAAGTGACTAACACTGTTATGATTAACTTAGATGATGATTAACTTCTTTATTTATTGGTATAGTTTTCTCGTATGATCCATCCCAACACGACGTTCTTGAGGTGAACAAGGCGAACTATGACTCCTGCACTACGAGCAACCCGATAGCGACACACACCAGCGGGGATGACGTGATCCCGCTGTCGACTACTGGGATGCGATACTTCATCTGTGGAAAGCCGGGACACTGTGGGCGTGGAATGAAGGTCGCCATCAACACGGTCGCATCTTCTGGACCATCTCCTCCTGGTACTCCTGTCCGTCAGGAGCCAGTAACCTGCACGCAAAGGTGGCCGCCGGAGTTGGATTGGGGATGGCCGTCCTTTTGGCCCTTTAAGCTTATATAGAATACCATTGTACGTGGACTTGAGTCGTTATTTTTGTTAGCCTGATGCTTGCTTCATTTACGCGATACTGTGTAGCGATATTGTGTTATTGGATGATGGATTTAGTTTGAATAAAGACTCGTCACTTTTGTGTGAAACAAAACATTTCACGCTGGTGAAAATAAAGTACAATGAAATTTCACTCTTCCGAACTAAAATGATCGTTTAAAGGAATCTTCACCGGAGAAACACAACCCAGGCTAGCATATATTCGCACGTGCAATGTACGTGCAAATTAATTTGAAATTGTTATCCAATTAATTTTTAATCGTTACTAATTTGACAATGATTTGGGTATGCAATTTTATTATAGAGATGCTAAACTACTATTTAGTAGTTTAAAACCAACAATATTCTCGACACAATTTTGTTGAGAAGTAGAACAATAGTATTTAATCATGTGAGCCCAACTCTTCTTCTTATAACGTATTTAGAATGCTCTGGCAATATAAAGGGGAAAAAAAGAAAAGAGAAAGAAAAAAGAATCAAATTGCAATTTCAATTATGTGAGCCTAATCCTAATCTCATGTCATAATTTAGAATATTTTGGAAATAAGTAATGAAAAGAAAAGCATTCCCTATCTTTGACACACGAAATTACCAATATACCACCCAAACTTCTATTTTTACAGGAAATGTCCTTCAAACATTTTGGTACCCAGCTAGGATTTTCATATAGTAATAATAATATAGATATAGATATGAAACTATTAACTCAATGAGGAAGTAAATAAATCTATCAGCGTCATATTTATAGCATAAATCGGTGGGAAAAAATATACTACAATTGAAAAATACAAATCCGTATGTGAACCTTTCTGTCTTCAGTTTCAGCATCAGGTAAAATTTAAGAGCATTTACGACCACATTCAAGACCAAAACAAGCAAATATGCCTTTCAGCAATTAGCATAATGCAACAAGCAAACTACGAAACCTAGATAATTTTTTTTAAAAACATCGGGTATAAACTACAGCAGAATAATGCAATAATTACGGCAACTATAATCTCAAGGTTGGTCCTTCAACACTTGAGCCTAAATAGAATCTCTCATTGCAGTAGCCTCTAATTAAAAATAAAAAGCCCAGCGGTCAAAATATCAAAAAAATTCAGAATAGCAACAAAAAAACAAAGCACAAATATATTATAATTTTAGTCTAAGCCTCGGTGACAGGGTATTCAAAGACCACATCTTTCCCGGTAAGCTTCCTGTAAACTGCGGTAAAGGTCTCCAATTTGTACTCAGTGTTGTTCCGCTCCTTTGGATCCAAGAAGATCTGTAACAGTGAAGAAGATTACAATGAGAAATGATTTCCACGCCTATAACAAGCCAATTAAAAATGGAAAAAAAAGTTTCTAATGGAGGGCCCTCTATCAATCAAAAATCATATGGGGAGGAGATGATGACATGTTCCGCTACCAATTTTATATCAACAAAATCAATATATACTAACAACAGAATTCAGTAAATAAACAGCAGTACAACCAATTAATAGTGCATTGGCATGCATTAGGACACGTGTCTGCATTCTCCTTCCCTATATGATTTTCTATAGACGGCCATCTGTAGCATTTGCTTTTGAAAAAGAAATATAAATATCGTACTGACAAAGAATCCTAAAGAAGGTAACACAAAAAATGAGAAGTGCTTTCCACGCCTAAAAGTAAGATAAAACAAAAGAAATAATATAAATACGGTATGCAGAAAGAATCCAAATGGAGGCAAAACCAAAACTTGAAGGCGAACACTCAAATAAAGGGAATTGTGTTTTTAATAAAGACCCCATGAGGGTAAAAGAGTTTTTTTTTCTTTTTTTTTTTGAAGAATATCATTTTCTTTTCTTTTTCTTTTCCTTTCTTTTTTACTTTTCTGCTTTTAATTTATTAAGAATAAAATATTACACATGTGATAATGACAAGCGAGCAACAAGCTGCGCCGCTAATCCTTTCTAAATTGCAAAACCCAACCTACGAAACACATACTCAGCGGATCTTGCTGTCGTCACATTCTTATTCATGAATTTATGTACCCTCCTGAGGAACTCCGCCGCATCAGCTGCAAGGAAAAAACGTACCGAAAGCGAACGGGATGAAGTAGTGATGGTTGTCCTTGCAAGCTTGATCATGTTTGCCCACCTTTGCCTTTGCTACTCTATCCGCTGCATACCCAACCTTAAACTCTCAATTACCAAACCCCACATTCTTTTTTTCTTTTTTATTTTTTTTTGGAGAAAGGGGGGTTCTACTTGTAAAAGGCTCAAAACCGCAATACTGCAGCACGTTTAACCTAAAATAAAATGTTCCTCGAGTTCGTTCTACTTGTAAAAGTAAAAGTAGGAAGGTAGCTGGTTCAAAACCGTAATACCTATAAGCACAATTAACCTTAAATATAATGCTCCCGGTCTAAACTTGATAATTGCCTCAATTTTGAAATTTCTGCTACATAAAGCTTTGAAGGAATAAAAATAAATTTTAAAATCCTACTACATTATGCGTAATATGATTCGAAGGCAACAAGAGTAGAATTAAAAATACAATAATAACAAGATTGATAATATAAACCCACCACTAAATACTAACAGATAGGGGTTCTAAACCGTATCCGTATCTGAGGAAATATCCATAACGTATCCGTTAGGATATGGCTATAGTTACTCAAATTTGTAACCAATAGAATATGGTTATGGATATGGTTTTGTAGTAAAATATTCAGATCCGTATTCAAGATATCCGGATACATATTAGTCATATTGTTACGATAGCTTTAATTCTTAGATTATGGATTTGACGTTAATTTTGATGATCAAACTTTTCAGATATAATGAACACATTAATGAACTCTTTTGCATCATATAAACTATATTTTTTCCAATACTATCTAGTTTTCTCATATTTGTTTTGTATCTACATTCATATTCGCTTATATATCCGCATATATATCTGTATCCGTATCTGATTTTAGCGTATATGGATATGAATTTTCCTTACCGTAGTACATCCGTATCTGTATCCGTATCTGAGATGGGTGAGCGGATATGGATGTGGTAAGTATCATATATGAGCCGTATCCAGACCGAATGCACCCCTACTAAAGGTTAATAGAGAGTGTCATTGTCATGGAAATATTCACTCTTCTTATTTCTTAAGGATTCAAGAAAGATAACATTCCTAATAGGCACATCCGGAGACCTATTTTCTAAAAAAGTACTCATGAGAGAAAGTAGTATCAATCAGAATAGTTTCATCAAAAAGAATTTTATGAAATAGAATAAATGAATGACAAAAGTCAAACAGAAAAAATATTTCCTCTTACCTTGATAATTTTGGCACCATCAATGCGATAACGAACGCGTTTCCCAACAATCTCTGCAGGATATACTACATCTTCCAATATCGCATCATGCACAGCTGTCAGAGTACGGCTGCGGGGACGTACGACGGCTGAGCCCTTCTTTGGTGGCCTCACTATCCTTCTAGTAGCAACCAATATCACATCCTAGAGGGCAGGATGACAAGCCTCATTAACATAAGCACAAACACAGCGATAGCATACATGTAAAAAAATCATCTTCATAAATACATGGCAAGCGCCAACGTATCTAGGAATAATCTTACCTTGCCACTAAACTTCTTTTCAAGTTCCCGAACAAGCCTAACGTGAATTTTCCTGTAAGCCTTCCTTAAACGGTAAGGGACATGGATAACAACAGCTTTCCTGTTTCCGACTACATCATACTGACTGCATCATGAAAGAGCAAGTTTAAGATCCCAGATAAAGCACTAATATGTAAAGGAAGACGCGTTACATTTCCTAGAAAGTTCTCAATAAGAGGGAAGCGGAAATTAACAATTTTGCTTACACAGCTGAGTTGATGAACAGATCCTTCAAGTCGCTTTTAAGCTCTTGATTGGTGTTCTCTAGATCAAAAAAGGCCTGGGCAGAAATTATAACTCTAGCACATAAAAAGAAGGGGAAATACTACATTTGTTCAGAAGAGAGAACAAAGGAAGGAAAGAAACCTGTGCAACTGACTCCTCAAACTCAGTAGGCTCAACATCCTTTTCTTTTTGGATTTTCCTCCTTGCAGTAAACATTTTTTTCCTAATGCAGCTTCCCTGTAAATAGGTTGAGATTTAGAAAAAAACAGCAGAACAGAACAAAACAAAAGTCACTTCCCAAAGAAAACAAAAAACCAATTGCTAGGTTACATGAAAGATACACATATGTTTTCACATGAACACCTGTTTTAATCAAGTATCAAAGGATAAAAAAAACCTAACAAGTGTATAAGCCTCTGGATTTTATTCAATAGTTGTTTGCACTACAAAAAATGGAAATTATTGCAACAACATCTAAAACCATATTGGTTAAGGAGCGGTGCTATTTCTTTAACAATGCAACGATATCGATGGGAAAAGCACAATTGATCCAAGCACATAGACTGTGGTTATAATTACAAGAACCAAACACCCCCTAAATTCACAAAACCCCAGAAAATTTCGGATAATGCCCAGCTCACCTGAACATAAATCAGGATAAATAGTTTTCATCATATAATGATCTATACATCGAAAAAAAGTTGAGATTTCCCCCCTAATCCCTTATAACAATTCCATTGAAGGAGTATAAATACCCACATATCTTCTCATCTACATACATGCAACAAATTCAAAACTCAATAATGACATTTAAAAGCTAAACATATCCAAACGTTGCGATTCTAGCTTTCAAATTCCATCTAAATAATGCAATCGTAAATCACTTCAGAAAAAAATCATCGTTTACGTAACATCACATCAACAATTGCATAGCATTATCCAACTAATTTTCATCGAAGAAAACGAGAAAAGTACCTGAATTCGGCCGACACGCGCTCGAACGAGACAATCTGCGGAAAAACCCTAGATTAGGAGTGAGCAGGATTTAAATCACGGAGGGGCGAGAAACGGACAGTGTAGATTGACTTAGGGAGTACCGAGTCAGATCTGGCTGTTAATGTCGGGTCGGGTCCGTTGTGACTTACTCCGCTTGGGCTTGGGCCTCATTATTATTGTTGGGTTCTGATATGTTTCTTGTGCATGTTTTTTTTGAACCATTAGTTTCATCCATTTATTGCTTGAACCTAGTCGTGATAAGTCGTAAGTAGGGGTGTCCAAAAAGCCCGTCGGTCCGGGCCCGGGCCGGGCCGTTTTTTTTATTTTTTTATATGTATTATATATGTATAATATATGTATACATAAATATATATAATATGTATAATATATGTATATATAATATATTTTTATATAAGTATAATATATGTATATATATAATATATGTATATATAATAAATTTCTATATATGTATAATATGTCATATGTGTGTGTATATATACTCTCTCTTAGTATATAAGTATATATAAGTATGCTCTCTCTTATATAAGTATATATATGTATAAGTATATATAAGTATACTTTCTCTTATATAAGTATATATAAGAATATTCTCTCTTATATATGTATAATGTATGTATGTATGTATATATATACTCTCTCTCTTAGTATATATGTATATATAAGTATACTCTCTCTTATATAAGTATATATAAGTATACACTCTCTTATATATGTATATATATACTAATATACTCTCTCTTAGTATATATGTATATATAAGTATACTCTCTCTTATATATGTATACTCCCTCTTATATAAGTACTAGATTTTATGCACGTGCAATGTGCGTGGTTAAATACTATAATTAGGTATTTTTGGTTTATTTTATTACTAAAATTTGTTACTTGATTACTCTTTGATAATTTTTGCTCACTTTGATTAAGTATTTTTGGTTTATTTTCTTACTAAAATTTATTCCTCGATTACACTTTGATTATTTACTTATTTGATGTTTGTTTGAATAGGTTTCACCCAACGTAAATTTTTATGTTGATAGTTGAATTGCCATGAGATAAATATAATCTAAAGCTAATTTTAATTTTAATTTCATTTGGATCGACATGAAATCGAGCTTGACCTGAGGAAGTATAGTGTTATGAAAGTGAAAACACTTGAAAAAATAATATTATAAAAGGAAGATGAATAATAAAGTCAATGAGCCAAGATGATTGATTTAAAGTGGGCTAAAATAACAGAAAATAGTTAATGAAAAAAATCATAAACAAAATATTAATTCTAACTCTAGTACACTTTTATATGATAAAAGCATCCACATATGTATATAAAAGCACTAAAAATAGTTTATGAAAATCCCTTCTAAAGATTCCTAATTTTACTAAAAAAATAAAACTATTCTATAACAATTCACAAAACATTATCTTTTCTTGCTTCTATTTTATTTTTTATTGAGTCGAGATCCTTCTTCATATTTGTTTTTTTTTCTGGGCAATTCTAGAGTAGTGTCTTCATTGTCTACATCGATTGTGATATGAGACTGATGCATGCTATCTTTCCTTGAGCTCATTCATCTTTTGTCTTCTCATCTAAATTCACAAAGAAGTTGAATATATTTCTTATATTCAACACAAACTTCTGACAATACAAACTTTGATTTTTCCTATTTCAATAAGAATAAATGTTAATTTCATATATATAAATTTTTTTGTGCTTTTAATTTATTACTTAAATAATGTTAGGAGCTACCTCTTTTTCTCTGCAATGATTTTTCTGTTGTGCATCCAATAAGAATTTCTGTCGTGTCATAATGTTACTTTTGCTCTGTCTGTGACATTTTCCATGAGGATCTGAACTAAGTACATTACATTTTTCATTGTCAATTTAATTTAGATTATAATATTAATATTTAAGTTTTATATATTTATTTCATAAAGAAATGATATCACCTAACATTGGTACTACATCATTGGCGATTCTATAATATTTATCATCTAGACACTTATTATTAATATCTTTATCCATTTTCTTGTTGCATCCTTTGTAAACATAGAACAACTGCTCAACTCTATTATAAATGGTAGTTATTGTTACCTTAAAGGTGCGATAGTGTGTCTATATATAGGTAAATTATTCTTAGGTTTAATTATATGAATTTTAGAGTGGGTTTTCTAAGATCATACCTTTTTCAAATGTTATAATGGTTGTATATATTAGTAATTTAAATTTCTACTGCATTTATAAAGAGCCTTAATGGAAATGCTTTTGTCTTGGTAGCTTACTCTAAAAGAGCGCTGCATATTGGCTTTAAAATATAATATTTTTTCTTTACGGTGTTATATGGATGTTTGCTTGGTTTATTTACTATTCTTTTTTTTTCTTCAGTAAGTTGTATCTTTAGATTGATATATATTATTGACACAATTTGTGATGACATGCATATCTCCTCTATAAATTTGAGATAGATATAAGGTGAATTTTATATTTAGTTGCATTTAATAAGAATTTTAGTAATAAAATATACTACCTTTATATTTAGAGATCTTGAATTCTAATAGCGCTATTACATAATCACCATTGATCGTGTCTTTAAGAATTGATCCTTTGTTAGTAGTCATACCTCTAAATAAAGTCACACGTAGGGTCGTGATACTATATAAGAAAAAGAAAAATAGATATTTTATATTTTTTGCTTATGCAAAGTCATGACATAGTAATTTTTCTTTTATCTTTCATGAAGAATATTTCTTTAATTTGAACAAAGTTGTTCAATATATTCTTCAGGGGGTATTCAATCAGTGTTTCTTTAATAATTATAACTTATGTTAGTGTTAATTGAAGTGATTCATGGACGTTCTGAATTATATTTGAAACGAAAACCGCTTGATTCTTTTGAATGATATCTCTAAATTTTCTAATAGTTCTCCATACGTAAATCCTTATAATTTTTTACCCTATAAATGTTATTACCATTAGAGATCAATATTTATAAATTGTAATCAATTAATATTAAGCTATTATATTATAGTCTTTTATCAGTTTTTTACGATTTAGTCTTCTATTAATTAATGATACTTATGTATTTTTGCTGCTCCAACATATTGGTAAAATTACATGCAGTTACTTTAATTTATACAATAATATTAATTTTTAATCTATCATATATTTTTTAAATTTTTATTCTTTAACTGGATATTTTTAATCTATTATTATTACTATTATTTTACCATTATCAACTTGATTATTTTTAGATTCTGAAAAGGGATAGTAAATCTTAAATTATAAATTATATTTATATATCTTAATGAAAGAATATCACACAATTACTCTTTCTTTTCCAAGTTCTAAATTTTCAGCTTTTTATTTTGTGTAATTTTAAACATTGAGAGTATTTTGTCTAATTTTTAAAACTTTTTACTTTTTTTGTAATACTTTATGTAATAAATTGATACTACAGAGCTGTTTTATATATTTTATTAATCTTATTTAAATTGTTAAGCTATAGATATTTTAAGGAGTATTAGGATATGATATAAGTATGATTATGATAGATTATAATTTAAATTAAATATTTAAAATAGTACAGAGTAATTTTGACTATAGAAAGCTTTTCCCAAACTCGTGCTTTTAAATGGAGTATGATTTTTATTTTTCTTAATTTTTTTATAATTTTGAGAATAACTTTTGTCTCTTTAATTTGTTTGGTGGATTTTGTAAATATACTATCCATATTATGTACATTTGTAGGTCTACGTTGTTCCCGGGTTCGACCTTTAGGGTAGACATTATTTTCTCATTAATTTATTTGGTTTTTATATATACGCCCTTAATTTGGTAGACATTTGTAAATTTGACATTTAATAATTTTATTTAGATTTACATTTTAGTTTAAATTGTATCCTTATCTTCATTCTATGTATATCCAATAAGAATTCATCAATTTATCAACTTACTCTTACTTAATGGAATAATATTTGAATTCCAAGGGTTTTTTTATCTACCGAAAGATTTTCCCGAACTCGTGCTTTTAAAGGGAGTATGATACTCTCTCTTATATATGTATAATATGTGTGTGTATGTGTATACTCTCTCTCTTAGTATATAAGTATATATAAGTATAGTATATTACAACGGCTACTTCTTCCCCATTAGCCCAACGGGCAACGGCTACTTATGCGATTCTCTCTCTCTTAAGTTATAACTTATAAATATATACAATATATTTACATATAATATATGTATATATAATATATAGTTACATAATAATTTGTAAGTATATACCAATACATAATTATATAAAATATAATAATATTAAACTAATTTTAGCATTTTTTTATCAAAAAAAGAAAAGAAAAGAAATTTTAAAAAACCTAGTTGGGATGTACTTATCTATTGTGATGCGATGAATTTCAAAATAAATTTATACTTGTAATTTGTAAATAATTTATTAATTATTAATAAAGAAATTATTTTTATAATTTTTTATTTGTAATTTATGTTATTTTAAGTGATTAATAAAATTATTATTTTTTATTAATTTTTTTTTGTCTTTTTCTTGTAATTTAAAATTTAAATAAAATTAAAAAAAGAAAATAAAGTCCGGACCGACCCAGAACCCGGCCCTGTCGGGCCCGGACCCCGCCCAGGGTACCCGGGTCCGGGTCCGGGCTCCGGTTTTGCCTGGCCCGGGCCCGGATTTTTGGGCCGGATCGACCCGGATGGACAGGTCTAGTCGTAAGTGGTAGTGTGACCAGCTCATACTTTTTGAGATAATAATTTCACTCATGTTAGTGTTGCTAGAGTAGTGATAATAATGCCCTTGAACACTCAATGCAAATTATATAATTTTCTTAGTAATATTAATAGATTTAATTGTTGCACGTATAATCTGGGTATTATTTTTATAATTATTATAGTATCCTTAAAATTTAATTTTTTAGATCATGCACTGGTATGATCATTTTCTTAGAGACATGATCTAATTTAGAGATTTCTTAAATCTGTGCTTAACCTATAGCTAGTACATAATAACTTTGTTATAACATGTT